GCCGATTGCCCCAAACTGCCCTCCCCTGCTGGGCTGGTTGCCTCCAACTGCCCTCCCTGCCAGCCTGGTCACCCTTAACTGCCCTCCCCTGCAGGCTTGGTCCCCTCCAACTGCCCTCCCTTGCTAACCTGGTTACCCCTAACTGCCCTCCCCTGCCAGCCTGGTCACCCTTAACTGCCCTCCCTGCAGAGTTGGTCCCCCACAACTGCCCTCCCTTGCTGGCCTGGTCACCCCTAATGACCTCCCTTGCCAGACTGGTTACCCTTTGGAGGACTTTGAGTAGGGAGAATGACATGATTTGCATATAAAAAGAATCGCTCAGTCATGTAGGGGAAAGTCCTTGTTCATGGGAAATATATATTGAGATATTTGGGAATAAAGTGTAATATTGACAACTTATTCTCAAATAGTTCAGTAAAATGAGTGTTGTGTGTGTGTGTGTGTGAGTGTGTGTGTGTGTGTGCATGTACATGCACAATGGGAGTAAAATGGTAACTGGTATGTCTAGATGAAGGGCATGTATGTTCATTGTACTTTTCAACTTTTTGTGGGTTCAAAAAATTTTTAATATAAAACATTGGAAGGAAATCACTTTAGAGAACTGCCAAGTAAGAGAAGCAAAGAAAAGCATCAGGAGGCTGCTATAAGACATAAGGTGTTTTGGGCTGGTATGTTTCTTAATGGTGAGAAACAGGCGGATTTGAAATCTACTTTGTATGTGGAGTCAGCAGGGTTTGCCCGCAGATTGATTGGTTGTGGGATATGAAGGAAAGATAGGAGTTAAGTTATCTTTTAGGGTTTTGTCCTGAGAAGTGGGAGATCGGTATTGACATTAAGTGAGATGGAACAGCAGGGGAAGGACAAGGATTAGGGGCTGGGAAATAGCAATTCTGTTTTGGACACGTGGATGGTGAGCATCCCAGTGGGGATTTGATTGGTAGTTGGATAAATGAATTGGGAGTTCAGCGAAAACACTGGCTGGAACAAAGCAATTTCTAATTATCAGCAGGTAGTGGTAGCCAGGTCATGGACAGAATCCCTCAAGAAGCAAATGAACATGGAGAAGAGGATCAGGACTGAGCACACGGACAGATTGCGGGGAGCATCATGAAGTTAAATGGCTTTCTCTTCTGATTCCATGCTTACTCAGTAACCACTTGATTATTACTTTGACTTCCCGTGTCAGTCCATCCATAACAGAAAGATTGGTCAGATGAAGTTGGAATATTCTAGTTCTCAGGACAGTTTTCATTGTAAATAAATTGATCACACTCACAAGTGTGGTTTGAGTCAACCCTTGAGACAGATCCATTCCCAGTGTGCTGACAAAAGCTGATGGTCAGTCTGCATAAGAGGAACAGACCCAGGGCTGGAAATTCCCCGAAGAAATGAATAACACTGCTTGCTGGCACTTTTCATTAGCTCACAGTAGCCGCAAAGAAGGAATGCTCCCAGAACTGGTGAGAAAACCTCAACCCAGGCATAGATAAGAGAATATTCCTCTTTAGGTGGTAAACCTTTTCAAAGTTCTAATTGATTTGTCCCTGTGCTGCTCATGTAGTTTTCCTTTCATGCTGATCTTGCATTTCTTTACAGCATAATCCCTATTACTTTATTACTACTTGTATAGTATTCTCTATGTGCTTTCTTTTAATCCAGCTTTTAAATTTTATTTTATTTTTTATGGTATTCAAAGGGTTTAAAATAAAAATGGTATAAAGTATACACTGAGAACTCACCCTCCCACCTCTTCCCTGTGCACATTTCGCTCCCACATCACTGTCACTACCCATTTATTTTGTGTATCATCTAGAATTTGGGCTGTTACCAATCTCTTGCTGCCACGGAAAATACATACATACATACACACACAAACATACATGGTGGGGCAAAAGTAGGTTTATAGTTGTTCATATGGAAATAACACAATAATTAATAAATAATACAACCATAAACTTTCCCATATTCAAAACTATAAATCTACTTTTGCCACACCCTGTATATATGGTTTCTGAGCTGTAGTTTTTGTGTTCTTTGTTGTCCTGTGGTGATGGGAAAGACGTCATTCCTTTTGGGAGGGGATGAGTAATTTCTGATCAAACTTCAGGCTCTAATTACATTCCTCTTCCACTTCCCTTTTAGTCTGAAATGTGGATACCATGACTCTAACATTTTTACATAGCTCCTCTAGCTATAGCAGTTCAGGGATGTTCAAATTCAACTATTTAATGCCTATTGTTTTTGGGATAAAAAAAGGCTTGTTCTGACCCAATGAAGAAAAAGAAAGAAAAAAAGAGGTTCATAAAGGTTATTGGAGAATATGTGCTTTTGGGAGGTGGAATAAGATGTAACGTAAGAAAATAATTAAAAACTCAGCTAAGAAGTTAATACAAATATTTGTCCTCTTCTCTCCCTTGGTGTAGCAGGTTGTAGCTTTCACAGATAGCAGCCTCAATATGTCTCATCCCACATGCTCTTCTTATAACGTGATATTGCACTCTTCCCATTGGCGGGGCCTGTGTTCCCTCCCCTTGAACTTCAGCTGACCTTTGTGACTGCCTCAACCAGAATACAGTGGGAGATGAATAGCTAAGTTCAGGCAACTCCCAGAAATAAGAGAAGTATTAATAGTGATTCAAATCTAGTAAGTTTTAAGGTTATTCATTATACAGCAATAGAAAACAGGAACATGGTCCTGACTTTTTTTTTAGTTTTCACCCGAGAATATTCTTTTTATTTATTATTATTATTTTTTTTAGAGAGAGTGTAAGGGAGGAGGAGGGGAAAGAGAGAAACATTGTTGTGAGGCAGACACCTTGATTGGTTGTCTCCTGTTTGTACCCTGACTAGGTCAGGGGATGAAACCTGCAACCAAAGTACGTGTCCTTGAGTGGGAATAGAACCTGCGACTCTTCAGTCCATGGGCCGATGCTCTAACCACTGAGAAAAACCAGCCATAGAGTCCTGACTTTTAATCGTCTTTATTGTCTTTGGTCTCAGTTCCTTAATTTTTTATTCAAATTTGTAATTTTGTCTGTTCTTATTGCAGGCCATCTCAAATCCTTTGTGGAAGAGGGTTTAAGTACAATATAATTACATTTTTAAAAGTGCTCTTAACCAGTGATATTAACTCCTGTTGTTATTCTATAACCCAATGAAAGCAAGCCTTACCACAATTTTCAAAGGTTTTTTTTTAATTAAAAATTTTTTTTGCTTTGTGTACATCTCTTCTACATTTTTGCCTTCTACTCCCTCCAGATTCTTTTTCCGTTAAACCTTGATAGAAATAATTATGACCTCATCTATGAGAACCAAATGACTCACCACGTAGTTTCTCAACAGACACTGTGTGCCAGCTATTAGACCAGGTGCCAAATATATAAAGACTTAGTACCCAGCTTACACAGGGGCTCCTAAACTAGTGGTAATTCATAGCTATAAAACACCCACCATATGTAAGGCAATGGGAAGTCTGGAAAAGTCTTTGAATGCCTTCAATGATGAAGAAGTATTTAAAACAACAACAAAATAACAATAAAGCAAAACTGTCAAAAACCTGAAAGGCAATTAAAAAAAAGTAAATAGAAAAAAGTATACAGCAATTTTATAGTAGGTTCACGTAACTATGAATTCAGTATAAGAATAGAGCTAATTTATTTAATCAGGAAAATAAAATAATGTTATGGCATAAGCCTTCTAAAATAATTTATATTTAATGTAAAAGACTATGAGATATTAAATTATAGGATGTTATCATTTTTAAATACATTATTAGTCACCACTTTTTCAAGTTTAACTGTAATTAAATTTTTAGAAGTAGGTTTTCCTAAATTTAATCCCAACCCAAGTAGTGTCACTATCTATCCATTCACCCTTGAGGAAAGGTGTGTGAAGGCAGGAACCGTATTTACAGTATTTGTTTGCTGGGGTCTATTCAGCACCTGGCATACTGTAAGCCTCATCAAGAATTTGTTGAATTATTACACTGGAAAATAAGTACTCAGGAGAACGGATTAAAGATAACAATTTTATTCAACAAACGCTTTTGAGTACTTGGTATAAACACAGCACTGTCGTGGGCGTTATACAGAACTGAAAATACAAGACACTGTCTTATTCAAGGGCAGATGCACATGACTTGCATTTATAAACCTTTTAAGTAAAATAAAAACATTTAAAATTCACATCGGAAAAAAGTAATTCTTAAATTATTTGTTACTACTGAAGTCTGGCCATCCATCAAGTACAAGAAAAAAACAACAAAAACATTAATTATTTTTACAAGCTCTTAGGGGCTAGGAAAAAGTTAAAGTATGAATTCATATCCTTTCTGGAATTAACTTTTAAAAAATTTTACATATATTTTTATTGCTTTCAGAGAGAAAGGGAGAGGGAGAGGTAGAAACATCGATGATGAGAGAGGACCACCGATTGGCTGCCTCCTGCACGCCTCCCACTGGGGACCGAGCTCGCAACCTGGGCATGTGCCCTTGATTGGAATCGAACCCGGGACTCATTGCTTTAGAAATTATGAGTAATTATTTTAAATGAAGTAAATAATACATTATGAACAATTAAAATAGGATGGCATTTGAAGACCTCATCCAAATCTGAGATTAAATGATTCTATGAACTAAATACAGACAGGCGAGGGAACAGAGATGGAGCGTGAAAAGGCACTCTAATGAAACTCCCTCCCCCAAACAGATTGACACAGTGACATTAAGAGGTGTCTGTGTGTGTGTGGAGGGGGGGAAGGAACACACTTAGTCAGGTCTTAGCTTCCCTCAGCCAGGAGACTTTGTCTCAGAATTGTTCCGTAACAATCTAATATTTGTGTCTGAATGTCTTCTTGCCTCTTAGTGTACTTCCTCTAAAGACTTTTTAAATTATGCCGTTTTCCTACCTAGACTGAACTGACTTGAGAATCAATAGTCATACGCCTGCTTTACTTTATGGCTTGAGTTAGATTATCACTGTTTAATAAAGACTTTCCAACTTCATAGCTCTTCTTCTGACTCTTGATCATATACTTCCTGAGGCTGTCTCTTAATACTGATTACCAAATCAATGGTTACAATTTTTGCCAAACACTGTAGAACTGAAGTTAGTAACTGGTATTTACCGGATACCGATTCCAAACCTGTCTGACTGCCAACCATGGGTTGGTTGGTCTGCAGTGTGTGGAGGGCTCTTACATATACTTGTGGAAAGCTCTGATTTCCTCTCTTAGATTTATACAGGATTTTGGGAATGCCTAAAAGTGCATTAGCTATTATCGTACCTACCATGATTGCTTCAGATTGCTGGCATTTCTTGACATAGTTGAGAAGATAGTAATGTAACAAGATCTCAAAATGACCACCCACTGGCAAAACACAACCTGCCGATATAGATGAGAAACAGTAGCTCTGGGAAGTACCCATCTCCAATGACTTGCATCTCACTGGCAACATACTTCCCTTCCCACCCATTTTTGTGATCGATACATTTTCATAAGAAGCTTCTATCCTAGTGTTTTCTGCTGTTGACTCAGTAGTGGGATCACCATCAATAAACAAATCATGGTCATCCATTATCCTGGTTTTGTTTGCAGATAAACATCTCAGTGCTTCATCCGTCTGTTGGGTACCCGCTGGTGTCACTTTTGGTGTTGAACGAAAAATATGTGTTTCTAATTCTACACTTGGAACTACCGAATTTGAATATACTTTTAAATATGTGTGAGTTTTTGCCAGTTCACCCTCGTTCTTTTCAACGGGGTCCTGATGTGGCCTTTGTATGGAGCCATTAACAGTATCTGCTAACTGATTACTTTCCCTATTCTTATAAATGAGAGGACTTGGTACATAATTTTGGTCACTGGTTTGTGTCAGGTAACTCAGATCAAGGTCTTTAAATAACTGCCGGAGCATTTTAAATGCTCCGTGCAAAGCAGCCTCGTGTTGTTCAACAAGACCCTGCACAGGCCCACACAGAACTATGCAGTGCGGTATAAACGAACACGTGCTAATCAAGCCCAGATGAACATACCTTTTGGATCTAAGGACAAGGGGCTTATAAAATTTCACCAAAGCAGTGCTCGAGATTTCATACTGTGAAGAGGCCTGTGGCAGTACCAAGGGAGAAAGTCCCGTGATCCTCTGGATAAGAGAAATTTCTTCAGATGATAAACATTCCACCACTGATACGCCATTCAACTCTGCATAATAAATAACCAAGTCTGGTTGTTTCACACTAGATAGGAGCAATTTTACATTGTGATTCTGTAAACTTTTCATTATTGCCTTTGTCCTTTCCATAATCCAAAGCTGAGATGTTTGAAACTGTGCCTCTGAATTTAGGATGAACTCTGACCCAGAAGTTGTAAAGAGAGGCTGGATGGTTTCTGTTACCAACGCTGTTCTTATGTCACCACCTGCTGGACAGTACACAGAAAAGTCTCTGTGAAGCACAAGCCCCGCCAGGATCCTGGAATCTGAAACAGGAAGGCCAGTGACACCTACGCTCAGCTCTCCAAAACAGTCATCCACTAACTCAAACGCTTCTTCTAACCCACTTTCACAAGCCATACACTTGAAAAAGTAGTCACACATCAACTGTGAAATAAAGCTGTGATTATTTCTCCCCACTCTTCCACCAAAGTATGCTTCTAAGAGCAACTTGAAAGAGCTCCTGCACAGGCTTCTCTCTTTAGTGGGTGAAGAAAAGATGGACAAAAAGTGTCTTCTCAAATATCGGTCCACAACGCAGTCTAATATTTGTGTCTGAAATGTTAGAAGAGCTTGGGAAATAAATTTCCACCGACAACACGTTTTCCAATACCTTCCATGAGTTTGAATATTTTTGGAAATCAAGGAATCTTTTTCTTTGTCTGCGACTGCTTCAAGTCCTCTGAGCAAATGGCAAAGGAAGATGATAAATGTCTTAGCACCGTCTCCTGTTTTTCTTAGATGACTGGAAATACATGCCACCATCACCCTGTACAAAAAAAGAAATAACGCAACTCAGATTTTCAGTGGGCTGCCTTCCTACATCTAGATCAAGTTGAAACCATGTTTTCATGGCTGTAAGCATGGAATGAGAATGCTGTCCCTTTAATATGTCCTTAGTTTTAGTTTTCCCTTTTCTATGTTACTGGTTCTAGTCCTAGATTCTAGGGTTGGCTGTGGTGGGGAGGAGTGAGAAATGTTAAGAGTTGGTAAGATTTGGCCCTAACCAGTTTGGCTCAGTGGATAGAGCACATCAGCCTGGGGTTTGAAAGATCCCAGGTTCAATTCCGGTCAAGGGCATGTACATTGGTTGTGGGCACAACCCCAATAGGGGATGTGCAGGAGGCACCTGATCCATGTTTCTCTCTCATTGTTGTTTCTAGCTCTCTATCCCTCTCCCTTCCTCTCTGTAAAAAGTCAAAAATTTTTATTAGGAGTTGGTTTCCAGCATAGTGTTCGCTGGGCAGGGTTCTGGCCCTGAGCACACAGTGGTCTCACCCAGAGCCATTTCCCCCGCAGCACAGCCTCAGGGCACTGAGTCGGGGAGGTGGCCTGGGTGATGGTCAGAGGACGCTCAGTGCTGGCCCGTGGGACGCGGGTACCTGGCCAGGGGATGCTCTAGGTGAAGCGCCGCCAGGAGGCGGCCTCCGTCCCTGCTGAGCAGCACCTCGCCGGTGGGCTTCGTGCACAGGACCTGCCGGCCCTCGGGCCCCACGCAGCCGCTCACGATGGTTTCCAGCGCCTGCGCGACCTGCAGCGCCGCCTTCACAGCCCCTTCCGCAGCCATGGCCCCGCGGGTCGTGGTCCGACTGTTGGCAGAAGCCCAGCGCAGCCCGGAGGGGGCGGAGCGGGGCACGACAGGAAGCGGAAAGGGCGGGGAGGACGCCGGAAACCGGGGCAGCTCGGCTTCCTGGTTGGGCGAGGAGACTGCTCTTCCGCCCACTCAACGGACGGGCTGCGCGGCGGCCCGGGAATCCGCGACTTCCGGTGGCTCCTGCCCGGGACCGCGGACCCTCCCCGCGTCGCCGGGTGAAGGAGTCCCCGCCAGGGGTTCACCGCCGCCTCCCGCGTCGGCGCCGTCGCGGAGCCCCCGGGAAGGAGGGAACGGACGCGGCGGGGCCAACCCGGCTAGTTCAAAGCTGCTCGTCGTTTCGCAGCAAAACCTCTGCCTCGAACCCTCGCCCATCAGCTGCTGCTCTGCATTCACGAAAGCCCCTTGGGGTGCAGCGTAGATGGCGGGGGCCTGGGTAGGGTCGCACGCTGCAGGCTTTCTGCTTTCCACCGGGCGCTTGGCCGCATCTCCGGGGCCCAGGCATCACTGCGGAGTGCCCGCCGCCGTAGTTTTCTTCAGCTTTGGCGGAGGTGACGAGCATACGTGGCCAATAGCTTCAGAAACACAGTGCGCTAACATCGACCGGCTACAACCCAACGGCAGGAAAGAAAAACAGTGTAAGGCAGAAGGAACATTCTGGTTTACATATTAAAACACTCGGATGAGGTGGTCGAGAGCATGGGCTTAAGATTTAGATCTGGGATTTGCTTTGCCATTTATCTGCCAGCAAGTTAACTATTTCTGCCTCCAAAATCTCTCCAGGTTTAAACAAGTGGAGATAATAGGTATGTAAATGAAAGATCTCAAGGCTTTGAGGAGGGTGACAGTGTTTACAAAGCGCCCAGCACATTCTAAGCACTCAGCAGTCTACTAGCTCACCCACCAAATTCCTGTGACATGTCACCTGTATGGGCCTCCTCTCTCTACCAGAAATGGATATTCTGTAAGGCGCAGAAGAATCGACTAGGAAATAGCATAACACTGGACATCCCAGAGTGCGGCCAATATTAGTAAGAAAAGTATCTTGTAGATTTTTTCATTGAGGTTGAACAGTGAGGGGCTGTTTTCCTTGCTCCTTATTCCCATGTTCTATAAGCCCTTCCCTCTACACCCAATTAATAAGAGTAAAACAACGGACTATTAGCCAGAAGCCACTGGACCCTGAGAAGAGAGCAAGAAAGGGAGGGCAAGAGGATGAGGAAAACCAAGGGAAGAGTCATTTCTTGGAACTTACCTGATGTCATTATAGACATATAAGTGATTTGAGAGGAAAAACTTTTTCATGTGGGATGTGTGTGTATGCTTAACAGTAAGGTGTGTGTGTTTCTGGTTCTACCCATCACAAAGGAGTTACCTTACTCAATAAAGATTGGAGCAGAGGATTATTCCAAACATTTAAAAATGGTGAAAAAGGAATGGATGCTGCAGTCAGACTTGGATCCAAACTTGTCCTTGTTATCACCCTTACACTATGAAGCTTTTGGAATCATTTAACTTCTCTGAGCCTCAAATTCTTCCTCTATTAAAATTGGGTTTACTTCCACTTACACCTTAAAGTTATTATGAGTATTCAAAGAGAAATGAATATAAAGTATCAAGTAAAGCAAGCATTAGGGATTCTGTTAAATCCCAACCCTACATCATCCTTCACAACTACACCTATCAATTTTTTTAAAATTAAAAATTTAGGACTAAGTAGTTTAATGTGTTATATTCAAAGTCATATGATCACAATTTGCTTTTTTAAAATTTTATTTAGAATGCCTACTTGTAGAAGTTAGCATGATTTTACAGATCATTAGAAAAATTCAATTCTTTCTCTGCACACATAATAGGTTAGGAATAATAGATTAGAAATGTAATACATTACAAAACAGTAGCCTATGACTATCTGTACATTTTCAATGCACCTCAAGGAAAAGAATTTGACAGTGTGCTCTACTTACACTGCAGATAACATACTTTTATTCTATTATACAAACTGACCAGTGGTAGTATGAATTTATTAGTGGCCATCAATCAAAATATTTAACTTAGGTGTATATTTAGCATGCTAAAAAGTGAAAAAAATTTCAACTGACATTCTGTGGCTCATCAGTTCAAATGTTTTGTGGCATTTTTCTTCAAATAAATTTCAATATTATAATACCAAAATAATTTTACACGATAAATACAGAAAGATAAAATTTTCTAGAAAGTATATTCACATTCATTTTGTCACGGGGTTCTTGTGGCTCTTCTAATTATGTGACTCATATTAAGGAGATACTGGTCCTATACAATTTTAATAGTCCATCTTCAAATAAAAACTGTAACAAAACAAGCTATAGTAAGAGTAACAAAAAGTAAATTAAATATACTAAATTCACACAATAGGTAAACAAAATGAAACCCAATTATATAATAGTGGCAGATTATATATTTTTAAAGAATCTCCTTTTCCATGTAATCAGAAGTTGAAATGTAAACTTAGTGATTTTTGTGGGGTCATCTCCCACCATCGGTTCAAATTGGAAAATTTGGTATAAATGCTAATTTTAATATTTTACTTCTGTACATTTAGCATAATTCAAAATAATTTATAGCATCATATTTGGCTCAACAGTAATGTCATTATCAACTTATGTCAAACAAACCCCCAAAATATATTCACTGCTCACTAGAAATGCTAAACACTGGAAAAACGTAATTTTATACATTTATTTTCTTAAATATTTGACTAAGATAGTTTTCAAAAAGTTAAAACTGCCTTTCACAGAATTTTGTGTATTTATGGCACAAGTTGACACCCAAAACAGTGTGAATTCCATCAGAAAGGCACTGCTTACAATACTCAGAATAATCTCACAAGTCTACTTCAATGATGTCTGAAAGTGAAGAATATATTTGAAATAGGTAAATAAACAAACCCTTATAAAAGTACAGTGTTACCATTGAAATATACTTAGCTATATAAAAGGAAATAAGATGACAAAGAGAAATGACCCTTTATGACACTTAAGCTTATAAACACTTTGAATCATATTATATAGTGCTGTAACACAAAATGAGTAAAAGTATTTTCTTAAAGGCACAAAAGCGTGATACTACTAAATGAGAGTTGTATTTTACAAGGCCAACTTTTTCAATGGAATGGTGACAAAGTTTACACTTTATAAATGATACAAAAAGCACTGACATGAAATACAGTAAATATCTATTGCTGAAACTTACTTATTTCACATGCCCTGTTTATTGTCTTTTCCTGGGCCAGTTACCCCTCATTAAATGGTGAATAACTGAAAGCATAATACATTTAACAACCAAAATAGAAATGCACATGTCAATTATTACCTAAATTTTCAAAAATTGTGAAAAAATACAGTTTTTGATCAAATGAAAATAAATAGGACATAAGATCTTAAATCCTAGAAATCATTATAAAGTTCTCAGACAACTGAGAACTGTACATCACAATTTTTATGAATCCATGTGTGAAGGAAGAGTAATTCCAGGTAGAGAACATTCAAAGTCAATAACATATATGGCTAACTACAAAGTTAATTTTGCGTTTTAAAAGATTCACATACTAAACCTGGTATAAGCATTGATCTAAAACTAAGCCACCAATTCCTGAGTTTTATGTTCAGTTTGCAGAAAGGAACTCATACAACTAAAAGCATAAGAAGACCTTTGGATTAGATATATGCTTTTAGTGTATAAGGAACAGTCGTAAGTAACCCTGCTTTCTCATGAAATAGTTTTTAACTCATTGGGTAATCAGAACCCATAACATCTGCCCTAAAGGAAAATAAAAAAAGTAAAGAAAATAACTACATTTCCAGTCTTAGAAGATACCTATACAAGTAAACACTATTTAGACCAAGTGTAAATAACCCACAAGCGGATAAGACTAAAACCCCAAAAGGGGGTTATCAACAAAAATTTTAAATTTTCAGGGTTTAATGATGAAATGACTTTGTGATCAGCCAATTAAGTTATATGTAATATAAATTAATACTAATTTAAACCATAAAAAAGATCAAATTGTACAATATTTACAAAATATATATCAGTGAATAGGCAGTTGAGCATAACATTGGTAACAGAGTACAAAAATTGTATTGACAAGAATGAAATACAAACAAAACCCTACACTTGTTCTAGTGTAGTCACATTATACCTATACTTATACTAGGTATAGATACATCTTATTTATGTTTTAATCAATTTAAACAATGTTTCACATGCACATACATTGTTTTGCCAAAAATACACAGGAAATGGCTCTTCATAAAACCTTAGAATATTTAAGATAGCTATAATGGTTGGGAGAGAGGGGGAAGCAGGTTCTTTATCATTTTCAATTTTCATAATTTAGCAATCATTCTTTGATTTTATATTTATCAGGCATTAAACAGCTGATTGTAATTTTACTAGTGTCTACCAGTCTCTTCTTGGTCAAAGGCAAATGTAGCCAGAGCAATTATTCTGCCTTTATTTTCAAAATTGACATTTTTAGGTTTCTAAGGTATGTCTTAGAACATGTTCCTAAGCTTAACTTATATTTGTAAAAATTGCTTTTGAGGACTACATTTATGTAAAAAACATAAAAATATGGATCTAAAAAGTAGGAAAAATTTGTCTGAGCCTGAACAAAAGAAATCCTAAAGAATTATGGTTTTGTAGCAGAATGAAGTTACTAAGAACCAAGGAGAATAAAAAATTAAACTTCAGAACTTAATGCTCTTCTTAGATGCTCAACTTATTGCACACTTTAAAGAAACTAATTTTATTGTGCACATAAATGCCACCACACAAAGCATCTTTCTTTTATTTGGCTTTTGAAATAAAATGTTGGTTGTAATTTCTCCTATTTATTCACTGAGCACACTAGAGTAAATGAAAGCTAAAGTAGGTTCTTCATAATGAAAAAAAACAAAACATGAATTATCAGCATTTTATATGCCTTATAATTACAATTTTCAACCTGTGTGCTGTGGCAGGAACACTGGTGTGCCACAGATTTTTTTTTTTTTTCTGCAAGAATTTTTAAAACATGCAATATCTGACTAGTCAGGGGCACTGACCTCTTTTTCCTTCAAATAAAAAATGACAATAGCCAATACATCAGCTGTTCAGTGTAAATGAATCAAATTTTTATCTTTTTGTCAGATCAGCAAAATATATATATTTTTTGGTGTGCTGCAGTATTTTAGTGATTGGTTTATGGGTGCCATAAGATGAAAAAGGCTGAAATTTGCTGCCATATAAACATCTCTAGAATTTGGCCTATATTATCAGATTGACTTAAAAAAACAAAAATAAGAAAAAAGGACAGCAACCAATTTTGTCCACACTTTTTATCAGCAAGTGCTTAAGGTAGTATTATACAGATAGAAGATACAATCAACAGATCCAAGTAGCTGTATATCATTTTTATATTGATATACACCTGTATACATTTGTATCTTTATCTATAAATATTAAATTCAAGGGTCAAAAAAAAAAATCTTGTGTAAACTTAAAAAAAAAAAGCAAGTTGCCATGTCATATCTCTCAATATATCAATTTTGACCACTCTTTTTCTTGCTTTACCTAAGAAGACAATTGAGCTGGGTGCTTGGAAAATGATTTATTTACTTATTTTTTTTGGGAAATGATTTTTTTAAACACTAGAGTGTATTGAACTATTATTATAATATGTTTATTATTCCATCATTTTCTATTTTGTAATTCCTTACTGATAAAAGTTTGTGCCTGTTATGAAGAAAATAGTTACTACACATTTATTTATAATATTGATAACATTTTTGTTATGACCATTAGTGCTATATCTCAGAACATATTATAGAATACAAAGACTACTTACTATCAGGTATACATAAGACACAGTTGTGTATACATGTGGATTTATTATACTCACATGTAGACACATTATCACAAAAGCTAGAAATGTTCTGGCACGTAACACATAGCTCACTTTAATAACCAAACAGAATAGCTATTGTTTCAGATTAAGGATAAAGGTATGAAAGATCAACACCTCTGCATTTATCTCTAAGGTTTTGTTTTGAAATATAGTGATGTATTAATAAAATCAAACCAACTTGAACATTGATCCCAGGCCGAATCTGATCATTCCAGTTCACTGATTCACTGTAAAGAGCTATTTAAACATGAAGTTTATTACAACTTGAAGAAAAATCAGGAGGAAAATGATGAAGTAGTCTTTTTGTTGCAAAAAATAATCCGTGGCAGGTGCGCTTGAAACTAAATGATTTCGAAGAGCCGTAATATTTCTACAAAAATAAGCAACAGTAAATTTTTAAATTATTTGTGAAAAATTTTAGCACAGAACTCATAATTTCATATATGCCCACAGAGCACTTAATTACTATAACTATCTCAATCACTGCTGCCTGAACAAGGAGCTAATTATGCTATGTGGAGCTATTAATAAGTCTTGTCTAAATCTATATTCCATATTATACCAAATATATACTTAATGCTGTGTATCAAACATAATTATTAATTTGATGATGTAGAAATATTTCACCTTCTCTGTTATTATAGTGGCTTTAATACAAAAATTTTGCTTAGTTGGCTCACTAAAGTTCTTTATCTTTACTTTCGGAAAGCAGAGGTGGAATTGAAGAAAAATCCTAAATAACCCAGGAAAATATAATGTAACAGATTCTATGACGTTCATAACTTAGAGAATACTCTATGGACATTTCATATGCACATAAAAATAAAATGTTAATTTAGTTATGAAGTGAGTTTAAAAATAGCCTCATGTCACCCTAACTGTTTCTGGCTAAGAAGAGCTGATTAGTGAAGACCTTTTCTTTTTCTGTCTTCTTCTATTAAAGTGTCTTACTATTACAGAGAAAGAAAAGGAGGTAAAACAAACAAGTAGACTCAATTTATAAACATAATTAAATTAGAAAATGTGCCGAAACCGGTTTGGCTCAGTGGTAGAGCATCTGTCTGCGGACTGGAAGATCCCAGGTTTGATTCCGGTCAAGGGGCATGTACGTTGGTTGCGGGCACATCCCCGGTAGGGGGTGTGCAAGAGGCGGCTGGTCGATGTTTCTCTCTCGTCGACGTTTCTGGCTCTCTATCTCTCTCCCTTCCTCTCTGTAAAAAATCAATAAAATATATTTAAAAAAAAATAAAAAATAAATTAGAAAATGTGAGCACGTTATGTTAGGGTCAGTGATACCAAGATGCAGAAGACAGGCTCCCTGCTCTGGAGCTCATGGTCCAGTAAGTGTGAACAGACGCATACAAAAATATCTGTAGTGTAGTAAGTGCTCAAAAGGAATATGTACAGAGGCTAAACTAGCTGAGTGGAGGGCTTAAGAACTCTACAGGAGAAGGTAATGATGAGCCACGTTACAAAAAATTATATTTTGAAGGATAAACAGGGATTTTTTTGATGGGCAGGGTGGGAGGAAGGACCATCTAAGAAGTGGGTTCAGTGTGGGCAAAAATACAAAGATGCTAGAGAAGAGTATATTCTGAACACGTGAGGAGTTTCATAGGACTTAAGCATGGGATAGGTGTAGGGCAAGCATGTCAAACTCACTGCCCACAAGGAATCAACTACAACGTTCACTAATGACTGATTACTATAATTGTGTTGCATTCATTTCCCTTACGCGCCTTACCCGCAGGCGCACCATTTCTCTCCACTAATGCTAGCAGCGAATATTTTAGCAGCTGATGGCCACGTCATTAGTCTTGGACTGACATGTTTGGTGTGTGCAACAGGAAATATTTCGCTTTTGGAGGACAAGAAAAATAGGTTTATTTGTGTTACGCTTATTAATTTGTGCAGTTATTCGGTATTTGGTAAGTTAATGTTCAAGAAAAAAATATTAATTTTTATTAAAATGTTCTATTATTTTATGCTAACAATTACTCATTTGTTTCAGCCCTTATATTCATCATGTTTCTATCAAAATAAACATACACTTCGATAAAAATTGAAGCTTTTGTTTTTCTGTGACCCACATAAACTTAAACCTTATTTATTTGGCCCATGTTAGTCTTTGAGTTTGACATGCTTGGTGTTGGGGAATGGCAGGAGATGAGGCTATGGATGAAGATAGCAACTAAATATGAGTTATAAGATCATGATGAAAAGAGGAAATAACTTTGAAAAAGTCTTCCAGAACATCTAGTGCTAAGGACTGAATATACAAAAGCAGGTTGGCTAGTATTAAAAAAATTTAACATCTGATACAGCAACGGGACAGAATTGATCTGAACTCATGCAAGCTTTAGCAAGGAGCAGTGTAAGCGTCCTTTTCCCTCCAAGGAACCTGTATAGGTGAGGTTAATGACTTTTAGTTGCTGGATCTGGGGAGGTGTGCGTGGGGGAAAAGGTCTGGGACTGCCAGTGGGGCACATGAAGGTTTCAGGGTAGTGGCTCTTTCATATTTCAACTGGTGCATTGCAATTAAATATTAGCCATGAACAAAGGAGACTGCAGAAGCCTTTGTTAATGGCCTCTCTCAGTAACCTCCCACTTCCACATCCAGGTCAGCTGCATTCTTATTATGCTACAGCAATAAGATCAAGAGATTCCAATTTCACCCTCAAAGATGAGAAAAAAGCAACCTCAACATTTCCCCCAATATTTTAGTGCTGAAAGATTTTCATGCATTTCAGTCATCAGGTGACAGAAGCCTAGGCTCTAGTTTAGTTATTATATTAAAAATGTAAAGTTGGCATATGATTTCCTATGTAACAGGATTCTTTTTTTATAAACTCAAATTTATTAAAAGCCACTTTGTAAGCATTTCATCCCTCACCCTCCCAATATCTATACTCAACAGTAGCTGAACTAGTAATTTCACATTAATATATAATTGTGTTATACAGTGTAATTGTTAATTTATAAATATATAATGGGCTTCCACTTCTAAGATCACCTAGTACCTTAATACTTACGTTTTAAACATTAGTGGTATTCCACAATAACCTTATGAGGGAAGAAATTTATATTGTAACAGAATTCTTGATTACTCCTTTGGACTCAAAAGAATACCTAGTCAGAATAAATTACCTTTTAATTTCTTCCTGTGCTTGTTTTATGGATTCAATGGAACTTTGAATGTCTCCCAAGTCTATCCCTTTCTTTCTTCTTGTACTTGGTTTTACTAGTTGAGCTAAAAGGATATTTAGAATAAACATGGTGAAAATAGTGAACATATTTAATCACTATATTTTAGCTTAATGATTTTAGCAATCTATATTTTAGCTTAATGATTCTCATGTAATAAAAATTTTCCCAGGCACTATTTTATGGTTTAATTAACATTAATAATACAAATACAAATACTCTGCATTTTTGAAGTTTTAAATCATATCATTCCAAAACTAGAACACTACAGATATATTTAAAGTAACCACAAAATAGTTAAGTTTTGGATAGTATCAGTTTTATTTTTTAACTAATTAAAATAGACAAAAAATAGCTTAATAAATACATATATTAACTTGGGAAGGTATTATGCTCTTCTGTCTCTTGCCCATTTGCCTACATTTGAGGAAGTCAGCTTTCTGAGTCCCCCTTTCAATTTTATATTGGTTATTAATGTTATCTTTATTCCCCTAGTCACCCAAACTTCAAACTTTTTCAATTGGTTTTGATACTTCAATATACTTATTATCAACCAGCAAACTATACTGTTTTTTTTTTTTTTTTCTAATTCCCCTAATGTATCTATTCCTTTCCATTTTTGTTCAGATCTTAACCTCTTTCTAGCTTTCTTATTTGTAAAACAGGTATAATTAACACCCAAATTTCATAGTAGTAAGGTGTGTTTAATATCCAGTTTGGCACAGGTTAAGTACTCAATAAATGACAGGTGATACATTATAGGTAATATAGTGGAGGGATAAGAGAAGAGAGTAAATAAAGGAGCTAAAATATCTGCTTATATAAGATATATGATGTCTTATGGGATGATATATGTCCTTGGGCAGATTAATCTGTATCTTAGTTTCCTTTTCTCTAAAATGGGAAAAACAGTTTATCAAACACTCCCTCTAGCACATGGGTACCATGCAACTCCTGCTGTTAAACCTTTATTCAGTCTATTCCTCCTTACTCCAGTAGCTTGTTCCCTGCCTGCATTTCTCAAGCTTAGATTTAATTCATTATAAATTCATCAGAATTCCTCTAAGAACATTTCCCCAAACTGAATTCAGCTACCTTTCAACTCTTAACTATTTTTCTTCTACTACTTTCCTGACATTTATCATTTATTCACCTCAAGTGTTGTTCTATAAAAATGAGCTCCCCAGTGTAATGTGAGCTTAAAGAGTATGCCTTTAAAAAAAACTGTTCTCATAGTGTTTCAGACATTACTTTAATCCTTTCTTGATTATATCTTTGTATAGTTCCACACAGTTTACACATCTTATTTGAACAAGGCACACTAGTTAATTTAGCCCATAATTTTAGTATAGCTATATTTTTACTTCTATGATTACAACAATTTATTCAGAGAATGAAAAGCTTTTTAAAGCATGGAACTAAACTCAAAGCTCAAAAATGCTTCCTGAATTGAATCTAGGAGGCCATCAACAATTTTTCAGAAGCTTAACCAGGCATAAGAGCAACACTACAGTGTGGTTCTTGACTTACATGCTTCCCCCTTTTTCCTTACCCCATGCCTTTACCTGTGGCCTAGTCTTAAATTTTATCTATAATCTAGAATAGGGCTTAAAAAATATTTTTTGGCACACCATTCCTGCCCCCACCTAAACTTTTACATTTTCTTAAATTAATATTTTAAAAATTTTCATCTATCGAATATAGATGATATCCTTTAAAAAAAACCAGATTCCTATAGTGAATAATCTGCAATAAATATTTTTACCTTCACTTCCAGATGAGTCCTGGATATCAGGTTCTGGAGATGAATAGCCTTTTGCCACTTTCTTCTGTTGTCTGGTTGGCTTATGTTTCATTTTTGGGACACTAACCTAAAAACAAAAACATGCTATTTTGTGAATTTGCATTGAATTTTAAAGACCAATGTACAACTGTTGAAACTATCTGTTCAATGGCACAATACATAGACATAAAACAAAGGTGATATAGTCTAATTTAAACTTAACAAATAAGATATAATATGCTTATATAATTAAATTACTTTACTTTTCGGTGTCGAGACAATGTTCCAACTAACTGAGCTATCTGGCCAGGGCTATTTTATTTAATTTTAATAGGAAATATTAATTTGGCACAAATAAAAAAAACACATAGAAGATATACAATTAAGAGTTCCTCTCCTACTCTTGATCCCTATACATTCAGTTTCCTCTCCTCCCCCACAAATAGTCACTGCTATTTGTACAATCTTCAAGAGACATTTTAATACAAACACAAACATAAATATAAATCCACCACTTATCTAACTGTACCAATTAGTACCTCTAGTTGAATGTTAAATAATAGTGTTCTTTTTAATCATACTTATCTTGTTTCCAAAATTATAAACATTTGACAAGAATGTATATTCTGCTGTTATTGCATAAACCAGTGTTTCCCAAAGTGTGGTACATGTACCTCCAGGGGTACGAGAAGAGTTTGGTGAGGGTACGCTTTGCACCCGAGTTTGGTGGGGTTATGCACTGCACCATGCTTAGCTGCGCCTAATCCTAAGTTCTCATGAGTACAAGGGGTACTCAGCGATACGCAAATTAAAGAAGGGGTTCACACATGTCAAAAGTTTGGGAAACACTGGGCCGTAAATTATTCTATATATGTCTGGTAGGCCTAGTTGATTTGAATGGGTCAAGCCTTCTCTCTGAGGTTGGATAATCTGTTCAGTGTTTCTTTGTCTCTGGATCTATTTTCATTTATTAGTAAATGTTGTTCATTATATCCCACATATAAGTGAAATCATGTGATATTTATTTTTCTCCAACTGGCTTATTGTGCTTAGCATAATGCTCTCCAGGTTCATCTATGCTGTTGCAAATGGTAAAAGTTCCTACTATTTTAGAGGCACAGTATTCCATTGTGTAGATGTACCAGTTTTTTAATCTACTCATCTGCTGATGGGCATTTAGGCTGTTTCCAAATTTTAGCTATTGTAAATTGTGCTGCTATGAACATAGGGGTATATATGTCCTTTCTGACTGGAGTTTCTGATTTCTTGGGATATAGTCCCAAAAGTGGGAGTAGTGGGTCGAATGGGAGTTCCATTTTTAATATTTTGAGGAATCTCCATACTGTTTTCCACAGTGGCTGCACCAGTCTGCATTTCCACCAGCAGTGCAAGTAGGTTCCTTTTTCTCCATATCCTCGCCAGCACTTGTCGTTTGATTTGCTGAGATTGCCATTCTGACAGGTGTGAGATAGTAAATTATTGTTTTGATTTGCATCTCTTGGATGATTAGTGATTTTGAACATGTTTTCATATGTCTCTTGGCCTTCTGTATGTCCTCTTTTGAAAAGTGTCTAAGTCCTTTGCCCATTTTTTGATTGGACTGTTTATCTTCTATTTGTTAAGATTGTATGAATTCCCTGTAAATTTTTGAGATTAAACTCTTTTCTGAGATAACATTGGCAAACATGTTTTCCCATGCAGTGGGCTTTCTTGCTGTTTTTTGATGGTTTCTTTTGCTGTGCAGAGCTTTTTATTTTGATACAGTCCCTTTTGTTTAATCTCCATTGCACTAGGAGCTGTATAGGTAAAGATATTGCTACAACATATTATCCTATCCAATAAAAGAGTAATATGCAAACTGACTGCACCTTTGCCATACCCAAACCACGCCCACCAACCAATCAAGGTGACTATGCAAATTAACCCAACCAAGATGACAGTTAATTTAAATACCAAGACAAGAAGCCAAGCTCTGCAGAAGGGAGCGGAGCTGCAGAGTAGCAAGCAAACGGGGTAGGGGAGAAGGAAGAGAAGCAAGTGGGATGGAGAGAGGGAAGAGAAGCAAACAGGTTAGGGGAGAGTGCAGCAGGAAGCCCTATTGCAGGAATCTTCCTGCAACTGGCTACTAGTATTTGATATTTTGCTGCCTATGGAGTCTTCTAAGATTTTTATGGTTTCCTGTCTTATGTTTAATCCTTTAATCATTTTGAGTTTGTTTTTGTGTATGGTGTAGTTTCATTTTTTTGTCATGTATCTGACCAATATTCTCAGCATCTTTTAGTGAAGACTGTCTTGACTCCATTGTATGTACTTGCTTCCTTCTTCAAAAATTAATTGAGCATAATGGCTTAGGTTGATTTCTGGGTTCTCTGTTCTGTCCCATTGGTCTCTATGTCTGTTCCTGTGCCAGTACCAGACAGATTTGAGAACAGAGGCTTTTTAATATAGCTTGATATCTGGTATTGAGATCCCTCCAACTTTGTTCTTCATTCTCAGGATTGCTTTGGCTATTTGGGATCTTTTTTTATTCCAGATGAATTTTTGGAGAGTTTGCTCTAAGTCTGTGAAATATGCCATTGGCATTTTAATGGGAATTGCATAGAATCTATAAATTGCTTTGGATAGTATGGACATTTTAATGATGTTGATTCTACCAATCCATGAACATGGTATATTCTTCCATTTGTTTGTCTTCCTCTATCTTTTTTTTTTCAATGTCCTGTAGTTTTCTGAGTACAGGTCTTTTATCTCCTTAGTTAAGTTTATTCCTACACATCTTAATTTTTTTGGTACAGCAGTAAATGGGATTGCTTTTTTATATGTAGTTGGATATTTATCTTAATCCATTCTTCCAGTCTGCTTTTTGACTGAATAATTTAATCCATTTATATTTAATGAAACTAATTAATAAAGACTGGCCATTTTACTGTTTTCTGTATGTCTTATACCTTTTTTTGTTCCACATTTTTTCCATTACCACCTTCTTTTGTGTTTAGGTGATTTTGTTTGTAGTGATTTCTTCTGATTCCCTTCGTATTTCCTTTCCTAAATGTTTTAGATGTTTTCTTTATGGTCACTGAAGAAAAGACATTTACATCTAAATTTATAACAATTTAGCTTAAATTGGTACCAACTGAATTTCAACAAAACACAAAAACTATGCTCCTATATAGCTAATTTTCCATCCCTTTATGGTATCACAAATTTTATCTTTACACTCTGTATTTCCAATGAATAACATATTTGTAATTATTATTCACTCATTATCTTTTAAATACTATAGGAAATAAAAAAGTAGGGTTATAAGTTAAAACTACAATAACATTGGCTTTTATATTTTCCCATTTGTTTATCTTTATTGAAAACCTTTATTTATCATACTAGAGGCCCAGTGTGTGAAATGCATGCACTGGTAGGCTCCCTAGCGGATGCCGGCTGGGGCCCCCCTTCCTTCCCATGGCTGGCCCCACCCCCTGGTCAAACTCCAGGTTTAATTACTACAAACTTCTGACTCTTTTCAGAGTTCTGAGAAATTGTTCTCACAGTTTCTGCTTACTTTTCTTTATGGTGATAAGAGCTTGGAACTGCCTACTCTGCCATTTTGCCAACCAAAAATCTTAAATTCTAAAACTAAATTTTAAATGATGGTGGTCAAAGATCCTAGTAAGGATTTAAAACATTTTTTATACCTAGCAGATCTAGATACTTTTTTTATTACATACCATTGGAGTGCGATGTTTCACTTTGGTCTGGATAACACCATCTTTTTCGAACTGTATCATATCATTAAGTGGGTCCCATGGTCGAGTACTACATAAACAATAAAAACACCATTTGTTTAATGACTAAACAAAACACTTGACAACATTTTCAAAGTTTAGATTAGATTTTCTTTAGTAATTATAAACCTAGCAGTAAATTAAAATGTCATTTCTAATTTTCTGATCTTCAGCTTATTTAATAGACTAACAATTATCATGGATTCAAATTTATAATAAACTAGAGGCCCATTGCATGATTATTGTGCAAAAATAGGCCTTTCTTCCCCTGGCTTCACTCTCAGCTCACTTCTGTGTGGAGCATGGCTCCAGAAGTTCCCTCTGCCCAGCTTCCCTCATAGCAGGATCACACCCCTCCTGACTGCTCCACGCCTGCATATGCAAATTAGCCTACATCTTTGTTTGGTTAATTTGGATACTCACTCTGATGGGCTGTGGATGTAACAAAGTAATGGTTAATATGCATGTTTCTCTTTTATTAGGAAAGATGGAATAAGTTTAAATCTCATTAATTTACATATATATGCATATATATGGCTTAACCAAAAACTAACAATAAACATTCCAGAAATAAAGGCAACAAATTATGCTGATAATTACTTACTCTGCAAACTTGTAATGCCATTCTCCTGTAAGTGGCTCAAGTTCAAATAACTTGCAAGTCCACTCTTCATTTTTTGTTTTCCGATCTCTGGCAGATTGTCTTTGAGCTTCCTCTAAAACACACTTCTCTTGAGTAGCTTCTGTTTGATCTTTTGCATTTATGGCTCGAGTTACTCGCTGCCAAAGTCTAATACATGTACAAAAATAGTATAAAAAGCAACAGAAAATCAAATCTATATTGAACAGGTTTAAATCCCCTTGAAAAAAAAAATGATACCCATGTGTCTTTTTGTCTTTGACAAAGCTTATACTGAGATGCTTAGAAATGAGTGCAGATATAAAAAGTGGTCCTTGAGTAGAGCAGCAGCAGAGACCAATTTTTTTTTTCTGGGCAAGAGAAATTTATTAACATGGACTCTTTTTAAAAAATATATTTTAACTAGAGGCCCGGTGCATGAAATGTGTGTGTGTGTGTGTGTGTGTTCCTCAGCCCAGTTTGCACCCTCTCTAATCTGGGACCCCTTGAGGAATGTCCAACGGGTAGTCAGACATACCTCTCACAATCCAGCACTGCTGGCTCCTAAATGCTTGCCTACCTGCCTGCCTTCCTGATTGCTCCTAACCACTTCTGCCTGCCAGCCTGGTCATCCTAACTACTCCCCTGCCAGCCTGGTTACCCCTAGCTGCCTTCCCCTGCAGGCTTGAACACCCCCAACATTCCTCCCTTGCAGGCCTGGTCCCTCCCAACTGCCCTCCCCTGATGGCCATCTTGTGTCCACATGGAGGCAGCCATATTGTGTGTTGGAGTGATGGTCAATTTGCATATTACTCTTTTATTAGATAGGATTGATTTCAGAGAAGGGAGAGAGAGAGAAGCATCAATGATGACAGATAATCATTGGTCAGCTGCTTCCTGCACGACCCCCACTGGGGATAGAGCCCACAATCCAGGCAATGCCCTCGGCCGGAATTGAACCCAGGATCTTTCATTCTGCAAGCCGATGCTCTATCCATTGAGCCAAACCAGCTTGAACTGGACTCTTAAACAGATGGCAATGAATGGTACTGACCCAAGATGAGAGGAATCTGGAAGTAGACCCAAGTATTTTTATTTAAAAAAAATAAATTTTTACTGATTTCAGAGAGAAAGGAAGGAGAGACAGAAACATTAATGATGAGAATCACTGATTGGCTACCTCTAGCACCCCCTATCCCCTAACTGGGGATTGAGCCCACAACCAGGCATGTGCCTTTGACTAGAATCGAATCTAGGACTCTTCAGTCTATCCACTGGGCCAAACTGGTTAGGGCCAACTATTATTATTATTATTATTATTATTATTATTTTTAATGTTTCCTAGGCAATTTTAATGTGCAGCCAGTGTTGAGAACCACTGGTTTACCAGAAAAAACTACTGAGATAAAATCTTTTCCCCTACTAAAGTTTAGTTTTATATCAGAAAAAATAAAAATATAGTATCTATATTTTACTAATCTGGGAAGATAGCATGTTGGGACTGAACGAACAAAGGCTTTGGAATTAGCCTTGGATTGAATCATAGATCACTTCTTGGATGTGAACTTAAAGTTACTTACACTATTTCAGACTGGTTTTCTTCATCTTTAAAATATGTTAAATTATGTTCTCACCTCAAAAATTACTGTATGTCTTGGCAAAACTTCACTCTAAATGAAGAGCATCATGTGGTTATAACTAAAATAGAATTTTAGGACTTGTGCATATATATTATTCCATCTTTGACAACCTCAATTTTAAGTGTAGAAGGAAAGTATACAAACATTTGAATCATTTAGAGAGTATGATAACGCATGTGAGTTTACTAAACTGCATAATGTGTATCAAGTACTCAGTATGGTGTCTTTTAGACAAACACGCCCTTCTAACACAAAAAAATATACTGTAGTAAGGCCCAGATGGAGTGGCTCAGTGGTTGAGCCTTAACCTATGAACCAGGAGTTCACGGTTCAATTCCCAATCAGGGCACATGTCTGGGTTGTGAGCTTGATCCCTAGTGCAGGGCATGCAGGAGGTAGCTGATCAATGATTATCTCTCATCATTGATGTTTCTATCTCTCCCTTCCTTTGTGAATTAAATAAAATATATTAAAAAAAAAAGAAATATAGTAAGAATAAAACTGGATAATATGTACCCAACATATTTGGTTTAAAAGTATTTCAGATCTAGCTATCAAGAATATCATGACTTTAAGAGCAGAAACTATGGCCTTAATTACTACCCAACTAATGCAAGTTTGTACCTGCAATGGCATTATTCATGTATATTTTAAAAAATGAAACAAAAGATTTTGTGCCACACCCTTCACCTAGAGTAATGTATGCCCTACCCACGTTAGAAAACAGCTGTCAAAGAATCATTAATTAGCCCCATAATTGTATGGAAAAAAACCTATATTTGACATTCACATAAACTAAAACAGAATCCTGCCACATCCCACAAATGTTAAACTATTTTGCTGAATTAAAATGTAATTGAAGGCAGAGAAAAATGACTACTCCTTTGAGGGATTAAAAATATACTCTTCAAATTTAGTAGAGGAAATTAGGGAAATGATCCCCACAGAAACCTTTCTGGTCCCTCACTGTCAATGTTGGAGTCTGTGGCTGTGTAGTCATCCCTGAGGAATAAAAGTTAGGATCCTGGAGAAGTCAGAGCCAGGAAGGCATTTTTCTCAAGAAATGACAAATCACGGAAATCAAGACGGCAGCATAAGGTAAACAACTATACTGTTGCCTACCACAACAATTTTAAAACTAACTGAAAGACAAAGTGGACATCGTCTAGAACCACCGGGAAGCTAGCTGAGTGGAAATTCTACAACTAGAAGGAAAGAGAAAAGGACACTGAGACTCAGGAGCTGTGGAGGTGTGGAGACCCATGAGTGCGTTAAGGGCGAACGGCTGAATACACGGCTGGCTTACTCGCGACGTGCAGAGAGGGCTAACACACGGCTAGCTTACTCGTTTGGGAGGAAAACAAAAACCTCCCCACTGTACTGAAATCCAGCTCCGGGTGAGACTTTCAGTACCAGACTCATTTGGGGAGAAACTGGACTGTCTGGCAGTGGGAGAAATTCGAGAGCAGCCTTTTCTCAGAGGTGCATGCAACCATTGCTGCAAGACATGGAGAACAGGGCCCTCGTAGGACAGGGCTGATGGGAAACCAAAGCTTGTCTGCACCACCCTGAGACTCTGCCCCATTCAAACAGAGCACAGAAACCCTCCCAACGGAGACCCTGCTGATCCTCACAGCCAAATAGCTTGGAGGTCAATTTCCCCCAGTGATACCAACAACAATCAAGGCTTAACTACAATAAGACTGCACATACAGCCACAAAGGCATGCACCAAGAATGTCCACCACAGGTAACAGGGGAGCCTAAGCTACTAGGCCCTGCTAGGACACCTAGCACACAATCCATCAACTCAGGGAAGCAGCTAAAATGCGGAGACAAAGAGGCAGGCCACAACTGAAGGAAATGGAGGAAAGCAAAAGACTGGATATGGAATTCAAAACCATGGTTATAAGGTTCTTCAAGAATTTTCTAGAAAAGGCTGATAAATTTAACGAGATCCTCGAGGATATAAAAAAGGATCAACTAGAAATTAAGTATACACTGATTGAAATGAAAAAATATTATACAGAGACCTAAAAGCAGACTAGAGAATCACAAGAATCAAGTCAACGATTTGAAATACAAAGAAGCAAAAAACACTCCCCAGGAAAAGCAAAAAGCAGAAAGAATCCATAAAGTTGAAGATAGTGTAAGAAGCCTCTGGGACAACTTCAAACATACCAATATCAGAATTATGGGAGTCCCAGAAGAAGAGAGAGAGCAAGATACTGAAAACCTATTTGAAGAAATAATGACCAAAAACTTCCCCTACCTGGTGAAAGGAATAGACTTACAAGTCCAGGAAGCATATAGAACCCCAAACAAAAGGAATCTCCAAAGAGGACCACACCAAGACACATCATCATTAACCTGTTAACCGGGGAGTTCCCTTTTTAATGATGCAACCTGTAATGGGCACGTACTCTTTCACTAGGACGTGTCAGTATGTCACACCCGGAGGACGTAATTTCATATTATTTTTTTTATTTATACTTAATGAAAATAAATGAAATATATATATATTTCTTTATTTACATATATAAAGCACAAAGGAAAATACAAAATTACAAAAAAATAGAAAAGAATACCAGAAAAAAATGGACACGTCGAATTAAAAAATTATAAATTTTAAACAATGATAAAGATTACAAAAAATAGCCGAAACTGGTTTGGCTCAGTGGATAGAGCGTCAGCCTTCGGACCTAAAGGTCCCGGGTTCAATTCCGGTCAAGGGCATGTACCTTGGTTGCCGGCACATCCCCAGTGTGGGGTGTGCAAGAGGCAGCTGATTGATGTTTCTCTCTCATCTCATCGATATTTCTAACTCTCTATCCCTCCCCTTTCCTTCCTCTCTGTAAAAAAATCAATAAAATATAAAAAAAAAGATTACAAAAAATATATACCGTCCCTTTTGGGGCACAACATATATTTCAAGGACATATTCATACATCCTATCCGTTCCCGATATTGTTTACGTTTGATGTATTTATAGGTCCCGCTTGGTTAACAGGTTAAAATTCCAAGAGCAAAAGACAAAGTATTAAAAGCAGCAAGAGAAAAACAGCTAGTTACCTACAAGGGAGCACCCATATGATTGTCAGCTGATTTCTCAACAGAAACTATGCAGGCAAGATGGGAATGGCAAGAAATATTCAAAGTGATGAATAGCAAAAACCTGCAACCAAGATTACTCTACCCAGCAAAGCTCTCATTCAGAATTGAAGGTCAGGTTAAGAGCTTCACAGGTAAGAAAAAGCTAAAGAAGCTCATCATCATCAAACCAGAATTATATGAAATGCTGAAAGTATTCTTTAAGAAGAGGAAGAAGCAGAAAAAGGTAAAGATAAAAATTATGAACAACAAATATGTAACTATCAACAAGTGAATCTAAAAACCAAGGGAATAAAAAATCTGATGAACAGTATTAAGTGGTGAATATAATAGAATCAGGGGCATAGAAAGAGTGTGGACTGACAATTCTCGGGGGAAAAAGGGAGTGGGGGGTGCAAGAAGAGCCTGGACAAAAAGCATACACCTATGGATGAGGACAGTGGAGGACAGGTAAGGGCAAAAGGTGGGGTAGGAACCTGGTGGAGGGGAGCTATGGAAGAAAAAAGAGGAACAATTCTAATAATATGAACAATAAAGATTTATTAAATTAAAAATATATATATACTCTTTATCATCATGAAACTAGCTGAAAAATGGTATACTTACTTCTCTGATTCAAAGTCTTCCTGCTCTTCAAATTTTACAGTGTGTCTTATTAATCTCCATTGCTTAATGTCTGGTGTTGGATTCCAGAAAACCTCTGAATTATCAGTCTTCTTGTCATTAATAAAAACTTCACTATCCTGTATTTAAAAAAATGAAACAGTAATATGAAGAATTATCTTTATTTAAAAAGGAGATTATACAATATAGTAATATAATAATAATATGTACTGATACTTAAACCCACAGTTAAACACATTTAAAAAAAATTTAACTATCATTTTTCTAAAAACCCCAAATCTTTCCTCATTTTTAGAAAAACACTTAAGTTAAATATATAATACTAGAATTTAAAAATCTGACTGAAAACACAGGAAGTTCATGAAATTTCACAAGTTTTGCTTAATAAGCAAATTTCAAACAAATATATGCAACCTTACCAACCATGCCAAATTGCCACAGTGGATTATAGTGTTTGCTACAAGGAGATGACTATATACACACCCAACATATGTAGAAAAACCTGAAAGAGCCCTTCTAAGCATTAAAAATTTCAGCATAATTTGAAGTATTTCATTTTTTTAAAAACTTATCATTTTCCCAAATGATATTCAGATAGAAGTAACATTTTAAAAATATATATATTTTTAATTGATTTCAGAGAGGAAGGGATAGAGATAGAAACATCAATGCTGAGAGAGACTGGCTGCCTCCTGCAAACCCCCCACTCAGGATCGAGCTCACAACCTAGACATGTGTCCTGACCAGAAATTGAATTGTGACCTCTTAGATCATAGGTCGACATTCAACCACTGAGCACCACCAGCTGTGCAAATAGCAGTAAAATTTTAAAATTATAGAGAACCCTGTGGTTGCGTTTGTAGATCCAGTTTCAATTTCTTACATTTCTTATCATTTCCTGCTTATTATAATGCATAAAATACTCAATGTTCACAGTGAGAGTGCACCTAGGCAATGCCATGGTACGATCCTTTTTATTCAATTGAGCTTCTATTAACAAAATATATAGATGTGAATTTAGGTCAATAGTGAAGTAAATAAAACCCATTGCCCTCATATATGACCATAGCCTTACCATGTTCCTGAAAAGGAAATATAACTCTAATGGGAAATGCCCCGTCCTTCTAGGTGAGAGGCAGTATAGTGCTGTAATAAAAGTACAGTCCTGGAGACACAGTGCTTAGGCTGGTATTCTCACTCCACCACTTACTTTCAGCCAATTATTACACACATACACATGCATAAACAGTATATATAAAATTGATTTCAAAGAGGGAGAGGGAGAGAGATAGAAACATCAATGATGAGAATCATTGATTGGCTGCTTCACACACACTCCCTACTAGGGATCGAATGAGGTATCTAGGCATATGCCCTTGACTGGAATCAAACCTGGGACTCTTCAGTCCACAGGTCAACGCTCTATCCACTGAGCCAAATAGGCTAGGGCAGCACATTATTTAAACTCTCTGTACCTCAGTCTCCTCTGTAAAATAGGGATAGTAACAGTAACCATCACAAAGAACTAGTATATTAAACATTAAATATGAGGAACATTGATAAACAATGCAGTGCATAGTAAGTGACATATATAAGTGTTAGCTAATTTTACTGATTTAAACTTTTGGAAAGATAAAATACAACTAGATATTGTTGGTAACAGAAGAACACCGAAATATTTGTTAGGGTGAAGTTTTTGTTGAATAGTGATGACTTTAGTAATGGAATCAGTGAGTTTATAAAATGTAATTGTTTTCTTTTCCATAGAAAATGCTTTTGTTAAGCTAAAATATAAAAATACTTACCCAATGGCCTTCCAACGTAGCTAAGACTTCTTTTCCCAATTTAAGTTTCCCTGATATTTGGTTAACACAGTCACTATTACCTAGAAATGGCTTTTAAAAAAGAAAATGTTAAATAAATATTTTGCTATTAACTTATATTTAGATACAACGTGACAAAAATAATAGGAAAAGTAACTGTATAACTACAGTGCTGTTGTAGGCACAAATGGTGAAAATACTGACTCAAATTTTGGTCAGAAATGTTCTATAAAAAGAAATTTGAAGTTGTTGACATGGAAAAAAATAGCTTAAAAAATGAGACTAAGTGAAGTTCAAATAAACTTACTGAGAAAGATCATACTGTATAACTGACAAGTCCTGTGCTCTCTCCTAACTCAGGACTATATTCTATCAATGTTGCAATAGATGAAGCAAAAATAACTCAGTAAACCTAAAGGACTTAACTCATCTATTAAAAGAAATAATGCCCCCTCCTTCAAAATAAAACAATAAAATAATACCCAAGCAAAAATACCTTCAAAAAATAAAATTAAGAGGAACTACCCTTTGAATTACTATGTTACATTATTGATGTTCCTCCTCTGTGACAAAATTTTGGTGATCCAGTCTAATTGTTAAAGATATCATAAGTTACTTAAGAGCTCTTTGGTCATGATTTTCAAATATCATTATCACCATACAAACAAAAATATTAAGATGAAAAAAAAATCAAATAAAGGACATTACATCAAATAACACTTAAGAGATCTTTTTTATTAGTGAAAAGTTGCTGGTTAGCTGTATAGCAACATAGGAACTGTTAATAAGTATTAACTGTTCATAGAAATATTTTTATCTGAACATAATGTACTATCTTACACTAACCACTGTCACTATGAAAGGCCTTAAAATTCCCTTTCACTCTAAGGCAGACAGGATTTTCCACAGATTATCTAAAGCATATCTATCCTTCCCTCTCCAGCCCACAATTTCTTCCTCAATGATGCCCTGCCATCATCCAGTGAGAATGGAGTCTACATCCCCTTCCCTTGAAATTGGGTAGGTTTATCACTCTTCAATTATTAGAAGGTGGTACAAGTGATGAAATTTGACCTTTGAGGCAAGGACGACGATGCAGCTTTCACCTTGCTCACAAGAACACTTGCACTGGAAATCCTGAGTTGCCAAGTGGTTAGTCTAATTGTCTTGAAGTGGCCAACTGCCTTTGAGAAGGCCAGGCTACATGGAAAGGCCGCATATACAGGTGTTCAAATTAGCAGTCCTAGTCTTTCAGTCATCTCAACCAGGCATCAGACATGTAACTAACTAATAAGATTCAGATGGTTCTAGGCCATAACTGTGGTCACTTGTAGTCTGCAAGTCTTTCTAACTCAAGCCCTAGACATTATGTGGCAGAGATAAGATACTTCCCATATATTCTATCCAAATTCCCAACCCACAAAACCCCTAAGGATCAAAAAGTGGTTGTTTTTAAGCTTATGAGTTTTAGAGTAAATTGTTAGGTAGAAATAATAACGAACTCTTAGTGTACACAGCTATAGCTCAAGCGGATATACGTTTCTTGGTATTTTGTAAAGCAATACTTTCACTTACTGAAAAATTTCTATCCATTTATTTCTTAGATTTCATCTTATATAATGCAAATCACTTTATTAAAATAAAAAAATAAAAACTGATGGGTCTGTAGTGACTTGGATCTTCCAAGCCTGCCCTTTCATGAATGCTGTGTTATTATATTTAGTCTTTAAATTACAAACTAAACTGTGTTCTTTTTTTAGTATTCATATTACAGCTCCTTTTTTATTAGGTAAAAATTCTCTACTAACCTTTAGTTTAAATTCAAGTATTGCACTGTATCCAGTTTTCTGACATGTAATATTGACTGTTCCACCAAGCTCCAGTGTCATTGTGCCATAAAGAATTCCTAAAGAAAACAACCACAGCAATTTTAACAGAAGGTTGAAGAGAAAGACACTGACTAATAACAAGCAGTGCTTTAAAATGCAAGGGTACTCCATCCCACTCAGTTACAATTTATAATATCCATATAAAGTTAGTTCTATAAAATTTGAATAGATAATAGTTGATCCATATTATCTACAGATTCTACATATGTAGATTCTACATCTGCATATTCACAAACACACTAAAATACTTTAGTAACCTCCAAAGCACTGTTGAAGTCATTCATGGACATGGGCAGAGTATTGAAATTTTTTTTTTAAAAATATATTTTATTGATTTTGTACAGAGAGGAAGGGAGAGAGATAGAGAGTTAGAAACATCGACGAGAGAGAGCCATCGATCAGCTGCCTCTTGCACACCCCCTACTGGGGACATGCCCGCAACCAAGGTACATGCCCTTGACCGGAATCGAACCCGGGACCTTTCAGTTCCCAAGCCGACGCTCTATCCATTGAGCCAAACCGGTTTCGGCAGAGTATTGAAATTTTGAGTTGTTATTTGTTCTTGGAACAAGCTGTAAGGCAATTTAAAATACTCACTTCCAAGAGGGGAACAAACTATGCAAGGCTTCTCATTCTTATTTGGCTATGAAACTCTAATTTTGTAAAACAAACATCATTTCCAGGTAGAGGCAAACTATGCAAGGCTTTATTCTTACTTGGTTATGGAATTCTAATTTTGTAAAACAAGACTAGTGATTTTGGGGAAAAAATTCCCCCTGTTGCTAGTTGGATATAGTATTGGGTACTTTTACATGAAATATTTTATTTATTTCAAATGATATAAAATTTAAAAATATATTTGTCAATTGATTTCATAATTCACTTCATGTCTATTTCAAGAACCACACATTAAAACTTTAAGAATTATCTAGCTATTGGCCACAGGTTGGCCATTCTTATACTTAATACTAGATTCATGATACAGTGGATGGGGATCAACAAGCATAGAGTATATTCCCAGTTCTCACTAACTAGCTTGTTTGGCCTTGGATAAGATTCTTAATCCTTCCAGTTTTCTCCTCTGTGAAATGAGGTCACATGAAATAAGTTATATGTTTTCATGATCAGTTCCTAAAATATAGGAACTGATCATGAAAATTAAGTTATTTTTAAGAAATGGGTTAGGCCTAGGCGGTGTGGCTCAGTGGTCGAACACTGATCAGTTTGATTCTAAGTCAGGACACATGCTCAGGTTGTGGGCTCAATCCCCAGTAGGGGGCATGCAGGAGGCAACCAATCAATGATTCTCATCACTGATGTCTCTCTCTCCCTCTCTCCTTTCCTCTCTGAAATCAATTAAAAAAAAAAAAAAAGAGTTGGAAAGGAGAGTATAGATAATGACCAATTGAGTGTTTAGGCCGAAGCCCTATAGCACAGTGGTGCACAGTGCAGAGACTCTGCCATATCCAATCTATGTAGTCATCAGGCAAGGCTCTTTGTGTCTCATTTTCATTGCCCTTAAAATAGGGATATTACCTACTTTACCAGTATAAGGGCTGCTGGAATGACTCAGTTTATAAATATAAAGTGCACAGAATAGTTAGGTGCCTGGACTGTTGTAAACAGTAGTTATTTTAATATCTGTATCTGTACCCTAAATAATGGGGGGGAATTATAATACACCAACTTTTAAGAAATTGCCAAATGAGGATGAGAAAAAATGTTAAAAGATTTGGTACACTGAAAAAAAATTTATTAAAATTTTAAAAAGGGTGTTGCAAGATGATAAAAATTACTTTTGAGGCTTCTGAAATAATGGGTATTTTCATCAATTTAAAAACCTGCAATTAAGGCAAATGAAATTCTATTATTGTAATCAGCCTCTTTTAACTAAAACATGTGTTTGAAAAGTCTACTGTAGATTAATTCACCATAGAAATATTCAATATAACTGCAATAATCTTATGTATCTATAAAACAAGGACTTTAAAACAAAAGTCTGACTTCATCAATCTTAAAACATAAAAATTATAGCACACAAAAGTCTGACTTCATCAATCTTAAAACATAAAAATTATAGCACATACATTAATTTAAAAAGGTTTTAGGAATATCTTACTCAAGTCTGGAAAATATTTACCTTTACAATGAGCATATGGCATTGTCATTACATAATCTTCACCTCTATTCAAGAAAGTTAATCGTGCTTCTCCATCTAATATTGCAGATAATGAGTTTCCTGAAATAAATAATGTTTATTAAATTTCACAAAACTAATTCAACCAATTCAAAACAAATGAAATATATTTAAAACCTACCAGACATCCACAATGGAATGTCTTAAAAATAAAAATGTCTCACAACCACATATTTGTTATTTCATATATGAAATATATCTGGTTATATTTTCATTCTTATGAGTACTTTTAAAAGTGCTTATTTGTCCATTTATATGAGACTTTTAAGAAAAATCTTAAACATGTATAACATGCAAAAAAACACTATTTCACTGTATAGGTTAATTTGTTCATTTTTTTTTTAAATAGATGATTTTAAAAAATATATTTTATTGATTTTTTACAGAGAGGAAGGGAGAGAAATAGAGAGTCAGAAACATCAACGAGAGAGAGAGTAATCAATCAGCCGCCTCCTGCAAGCTCCCCACCAGGGATGTGCCCGCAACCAAGGAACATGCTCCTGACCGGAATCGAACCTGGGACCCTTCAGTCCGCAGGCTACGCTCTATCCACTGAGCCAAACCGGTCTCGGCTAATTTGTTCAATTTTTAATAAAAACATTATTTCTTCTGTAAGTCGCTTTACTTAAGTCCAAGCTTTAAGTTCTTTTGATATAAAAATGCTATAGAGCCCGGCCAGTGTGGCTCAGGAGTTTTGGGCTCAATTCCAGTAGGAGGCTTGCAGGATATTTACTTCTAGCTTTTATCGCATTTGCATTTTTCTTTCCACCCATCATCAGTTTTATTGAAGTAAAACAATCCTATATGTTTCTTTTCCCCTTGTACTTAACAAAAGCTTTTTTGGTATGTTTTTGGGTCCAAGGTTAAACGTTGTTACTAACTGATGCTTAACCAAGTATTTTAATTATACTTGGATTTTTTTCTCTCTCTAGTCAAGGACCAAAATAAAAAAATGAAACCCTTGGGTACATTAAGATGGAACAAAAACCTTAGTAAGGGTTAAAGGCAAAAGAAATACATTAGGCACTAAAAGGGCTACCATAGTGGGCAATCATTATTCAGTTTTTTAATAAGTGGTGTTTGGGATAAATTTATACATATGGAGTATATATACTATATAATAAATAGGTAATATGCAAATTGACCATCATGCCCTCGCACAAGATGGTTGCCCCTATTTGGTCAAAGATGGCCACCACAAGATGGCCAGTAGGGAAGGGTAGTTGTGGGTAATCAGGCCTGCAGGGAAGGGCAGTTGGTGGTGAGATTAGACCGGCAGGGGAGGCAGTTGGGGGCAATTGGGTGGGCAGGGGAGCAGTTAGGTGTCGATCAGGTTGGCAAGAGAATGGTTAGGGGGTGATCAGGTTGGCAGGCAGTCAAGCAGTTGGGTGCCAGCAGTCCCGGATTGTGAGAAGGATGTCCCACTGCCGATTTAGGCCTAAACCGGCAGTCAGATATTCCTGAGGGGTCCCAGGTTGGAGAGGGTGCAGGCTGAGCTGAGGGACACTCTCCCAGTGCACAATTTCATGCACCGAGCCTCTAGAATATATATAAAATGAAGCAGATATCAATTTATGATTGGACAAGAAAAAACACTATAAAATTCATTATTTAAGTAAAAATGACACTTAAAATGACATAAAAATTCCTTACTGAAAACATCTTGAGACACCATGTAAATAAAAGCTCACTAAAAAATACTACCTCCCAGAAAATGATGCCTACTGAGACAAAAGTAAACTCACCATAGAACTTGGACTTAGCCAGGATACTACCACTAATGCAAAATCCATCCTTTCGGTTACTAACATAAAAAGCAGATATTGGTGGGTGATGGGACACCTATTGAACACAGAAAAAAAATAAAATACAAGAATATTATTGTACTATTTGACTAATTATCAAAAAGTCAAGTTTTAAAAACACACTCTATTAATAAAGAAGATTTGGTAAGTAGTAAAACTAAATATTGATGATTATGGTAATCAACCTCTAAGATGCCTCCCAAGGAATCTCACCTCCCAATATGCAAATCATTAGGTGGGTTCCTCTTATATTGTACCAAAATTGGTTTATGTGGAAGTGACAGCATGTCTGAAATTATGTTATAATGTAGCACCAATCTTATTGTGTGTCTCTCTCAGATAATCAGCTCTAAAAAAACAGCTTACATATTGTGAACAAACCAATGGAGAGGGCACATATAGTGAGGAACTAAATCCTATTGTCAAAAGCTATGTGTTGAACTTGAAAGTAGAAACTTCTATTTCACTTAAACCTTCAGAGGACTGCAAAGCTGAATGACATCTTGACTGCAACCTCTGAAGACCCTGAGCCAGAATCACCCAGCTGAGGAGCCCCAGATTTCTGAACCTCATTGTATGAGATAATGTTACTTAAGTCATTAAGTTTTAGCAGTAATTTGTTATACAAAAATGGATAACCAGTGGCAATTCTTCATAGAAATTATGAATAACTATAGAAAACTAACAAAAACTTTGACAAATATATTATTTTAATCTAATACACACACACACACACACACACACACACACACACACACACACACACATCTTATGCTTTCTGAAATGAGACAAAGCTAAAGTCAATTAAATTCTTCCCAAGCTTCTCAATTTAGAGAAGAATTATAGTGAACTAAAATATAAGGTGTTCTAATCATTAATTTAAAAACTTAATACAGATATGTGGTTTCAATCTGAGGAATATATTAAAATTTCTAGGGAAGAGGAAGGTTTTGCAAATGACACATGGTCTCCTCATCCTCCTTACATTACAGGTGAGAATTATTATAATAAGGATCCACTGTTATGGAAAGACAGTATCACATTCGTCAGGTTTGTTAGAACAGTTTGTTGCCATGTAAATTAACAATTATGAATATAGGTGCACATAAATTTAAATTAATGAAAGATTAAAACTAAGAAGTATTCTGACTGCCTACTGTGTGTATAATAAAAAAATGTATTATGGGGAGGGTATACATTTAAGGAGCCAACAGTTCAATTTGGGAAATAAATATTTTATAAAAAGTGTTGACAGCTTAATGGATAATCACAAAATATAATATTGGAGTCTAAGGAGAGAAATCACTGGGAGCTATAGTCATTTGGGCCAAGAAAAATGAGCAGGTGAGGGTTTATTTAAATAAAATACAGCAGAGAAGAAATATTGGGATAGAAGAATTAAATTTAAAAATACTAAGGCAAAAAAAAATGTGTAATATCAGGTAACCTAATTCTGTATGTACAAGATTGACTAGTTTGAAAGAGCTCAGAAAGGCATAGAATTTGAGGTAAATTAAAAAGATATGGAGGACCTTAAATGCCACACAATTGGTATAAATTTGATTTAGGAACTGGGGAAATAGGGAAGAATTCTGGTAAAAGGATAGGGGGCAGGAAAAAAGTTATTTTTGTCATAGGATTCTATGGCTAAAATAGTAATATCGATAATTTTGAGTATGATACTTAGTAGTACTCAGTACTAACATGTAAAATGCTTACCAAATTTTCATTAACAATGGTTAATCAACAGTGAATTTACTGAGTTAATATTTTTCAATAACTTCAGAATCAGTTTTGTTTCTTAAGACATATTTCTTTTTATTTTTTAATCCTCACCTGAGGATATTTTTCCATTGACTTTTTTTTTTTTTTTTTTTTAGAGAGAGTGGGGAAAGACAGAGAAAAATATCAATGTGAGAGAAACACATCGATTGGCTGCCTCCTGCATATGCTATGACCTGGGCCTGGGCCTGGAGGAGCCTGCAACTGAGGTATGTGCTCTTAGACAGAATAGAACCCAGGACCTTTCAGTCCGCAGACCAATGTCTATCCACTGAACCAAACCAGCTAGCTTAAGACACATTTCTAATACCTGTTCAGCAATATAAAAAGTTTTGCTGTTTGTTCTGGGGTGAATCCACAGACAACGAAAAGTCTCACCAAGTATAGGATTATAAGGTTTCTTCAGGCCCTAGGGAAAAAAAAAATCCAAATTTAAATTATAAATACAGAAGACTCAAAATAGTTCAAACCAGTCAAAATGGGCTTAGCTGTATTATGTAGGAGCCATCCTTATAAAATTTCACAGTAGGGACATGAAATAAAGTTAAACAACTTCACTCACGATAAGTATTTTGCAATTTTGCTAATTCAAAGCCTTGCAATGTAATTATTAATAAGTAATCTATAGATAAAAAACAAATAACTCATATAAGGCTGAAAAAGGTAAAATATAAACATTACCTTTGGTTTTTTATAGAATCCTGACAAATACCATTTCACTACTTTCTTCAAACGGAAATAAGGATTTTCTTCAAGAGCAGCCCTAAATATCAAATGGTAAACACAAAAATTTTAGAGACTATATCACAAATTCTCTCTCATAGTTAACTGAATATGATATGATTGAAAAGCATAATTCATATTTAAAATAGATGTAAAAAACCATGTACATTAGTTTGTAAGAATCAGTTTTTATAACCTGGTTACTTTTCTTCCCATTTTTCCTATTCTTTAACATGCTACCCAGGTCTTTGCTCTATTTGTTTTGAAAACTGTCCAAATCAAGATTTCTCAACTGGGGTTCTGTAGAACTTTTAATGTTGCTAGAGGTTCTGTAATTGTAATTATAAAAGTTAAACATATACTTTGAGATTTGTGCACTGTTTGATACCTAGCATTTGCAATAACGGGGCAATGGCCAAACAACCTCATTAACAACTTCATATGAGGTCTCCAGTCCCCTACGTCAGAGAAGGACCACGTCCACTTGAGAACTTAGTCTATTTTCATTTGTTGACGTTAATTAGAGGAGATCAACGGTAACTGGTGGGGCTGTAGTACATGAAGGGAGGCTGATGTATGCCTCTCCTGCAGCCTCCCTAAGTATTATATGCCTTTTTAATCCCTTGTACAAAACACTTAAGTTTCAAGTCACAAAGATGGAAGATTTAAAATAATTTAAACTAATAAAAAGGTTTTTAATCCCTTTTTAGCCTTCAACCTTCCCTATGTGCTATCAGCTGATTTTGCAGAGTGAATGAACTCTACCAATATAACAGGTAATCAAAAAAGAATTTTCAGCCGAAACCAGTTTGGCTCAGTGGATAGAGCATTGGTCTGCGGACTGAGGGGTCCCAGGTCCGATTCCGGTCAAGGATATGTACATTGGTTGCGGGCACATCCCCAGTCGGGGGTGTGCAAGAGGCAGCTGGTCGATGTTTCTCTCTCATTGATGTTTCTAGCTCTCTATCCCTCTCCCTTCCTCTCTGTAAAAAAATCAATAAAATATATTAAAAAAAAAAAAAGAATTTTCATTTTAAAGAAAAATTTTTTAGAAGTCCCCACTTAGCTACTCCCTTTTGCTGATGCAAAAACATTGCAAAACATTTATTGTGTAATTCAGAAGTGAATTCTACTGTAAAGTTAGTGCATCAGTTATTTATTTATTTTACAATTTAACTTTTTTTTAATACTCATTTAGCATGTCTGAAGTTCCACTGTGCTGATTTTTTAAGATGAGGTATAAAATTAAAGAGGCTAGATCTATGCTACTGACAACTATGCCAAGTTGAATGTTTGCACTTTTTGGGAGTTAACAACCCTCCGACTGTTCTCTTCTTATCTTTACTTAATCTCTCTTTCTACAATATTTTATTTGATACTTTACATACACTTAGGACACAGAGTTCAAAACAAAGCAATGTAAAAAAAAGTATACATTAAAAAAATGTATACATGTCTTGCTATTGACCCATCTTCTCCTGCTTTTCCTACTAGTATTTAAAAAATAAAGTTTTTTTTAAGCATAAAGAAGCCATCTAGTCTTTTTTTTTTTTAATGTATTTTTATTGGTTTCAGAAATGAAAGGAGAGGGAGAGATAGAAACATCAATGATGAGAGAGAATCATTGATGGCTGCCTCCTGCACACACACCTCCTACTGGGGATCAAGCCCACAACCTGGGCATGTGCTCTTGAGTGGAATCAAACCCAGGATGTTCTATCTACTGAGCCATACTGACTAGAGCTGTAGTCTTTTTCTTTAAAAAATAAAAAGTACCAAACTACACTCGTTCTTCTGTACCTTGCTTTTTTCATACACACATATAATGCTGAAGGTCCCTCCTTATCAGTTTATATGGTTCTTTCTTATATGCAGAAGCACAAGACATTACTTAAATGTCAGCTATGGCTGGACACTTGAGTTAACGAATCTTATATTATTTACAGACCCTGCTGAAACAATCTTGTATATACATGTCATTTTGCATATGCGGAGCTATATCTGTGGGAATTATTCCCAGAAGCAGGATTACTGGGTCAAGGGATTGAATGCATCTCTAATTTTGGTAAGTACTGCCAGGTCCTCTTCAAAGGCACTGTGCTAGTTTACCTCGCTCAGCAGCAGTGCAGGAGTGAATGCTGCACACAGCCTTGGCAATAAAATAGTGTGTTGCCAAAAAGTGCAACTTTCCAATTTGAGAAAAATGGGCATCTCTCAAGATCTTATTGTAATTCACAGGAACCTTCCTCATACTCTAAGAGAATTGAATGTCTAGACAGATAAAAGAAAGAAATATAATAAGATACAAGGCAGAACTGGGGCATTAAAGGTTTTGGACTTTTGGTCAATGTGATAAGAATAGTATGTTACAGTTTGAATCTGCATTTTTCTTATTTTGTGTGAAGTATGTATGATTAAGGAATAGTCATTTTAAACTAGTCATTTCCTCCACTCCTTTATTATTAGGCTGTTGATAATTTTCAATCACTTTGTAAGAGCACTTTTTATTTTAGGGAGAAAAAAACCTGTGTATGATCAAATTTACAAAAATCTCCCACAATTTATCAATGATCTTTTGATTCAGCTTATGATTTTGGAAACGTTTATTAATACAACAAATAGACTAATAATACAACCAGTAAACTGAATACAGATATTATGCAGGATCTAAAAATCAGGCCACAGGGCCAGAACTTGGAAACACAGTGCCTTGCAACACCACTGTAGCTGAAACTGGGGTGCAGGTAAAACTTGGAAACATACAAAGTTGCTATCTTTTACTGGTTCTCCAAACAAATATTGGGACAGAGCTGGACAGTTGCTTCTATACCTCCTTTATGCCTGACTTCTTCAGAATCGGCTGGCAGGGAAAAAAGCAAAGACAAAAGTGGTGATTTATACCAAGAGCCAACAACTGGTGGGGCATTCTGGATCCGGAAAGCTGCACATGTCTTAAAGGCATGCAGAGAGGTGCAGGGAGGATAAGTATAAACAAAAGCACAAGCCACAAGGTGGGACCTGAACAAGGCTGAAATGGAGAGAACAAAGAATGCCAACCACCTCTCCCTGTGTTAGGTCAGCAAAAGGTCAGGGAGCCTGTGATAGCAGTGCTGTCGGGTGAGGGTACAATTCTTGTCCTCTTAAAGCTCGTGATCTCTTAACTCAACTGAAAACAGCACACCAAAGAATTAAATATGTTTCTCACTTCTTAAGGTCAACTACAGAAGTGGTGAAAAAGAAAGTGATTATCTCATTAGAGTCCGATTTTAGTAAAGCATGACCACTGAACAGCAATCTAGGAAATCTCTAAGAAATAAAATTTACTTACTCAGACAGAAAATCTGCATGATAGTAATAATCTGAAAGTTTATCCAGGAAAGAACGAGGTTCCAAAATAAATGTAGGCAGAACCACCCTGGACAGATCCATACCAGGACGGACTTGTTTCAGCAGTGTCCAGATAAGGCTTTTGTTTTCTTCAGACACAGTTTCTGTTTGAGAAGCCTCACCTGCCTTCAGCAATTAACAAAAAATATTGAAATATTATATTTATTTCAGACACATAGATGTGTAGAAAAGACATTTTGAAAACCAGAACTCTCTATCTGACCATTCCAAACATTCTTAAAATGCGAAAACAACCCATTAAATAATAAAGTCTATAGCTATAAGGTTTAGGTAAAAAGGTAAAAAGGTATTTGCAAAAGATATCAAAGTGAATGATATATACAAAGACTCTATTATAAAAATAGTATACTCCATTGTAATATATTTACCTCTATGCACTTGCAATAAACAACAAAGTTATAAACTCAAGTTTCCTGCATTTTTCTTGTACCTGACAATAACATCTAGCAGCATCCTATTTCAAAAGCAAACTTGAAGAAAATGTAAACTTTAAATTTAATAGGATATATTCATATTTGTGTAAGTATTATGTTTTTAGTTGTTTATAAGTCCTGACACATTTCATATGTATACATCTTTTAAAATAAAGTAGGTATAGAAATATTCTTTTGGGAAAATAAGCAAAAGGTCAAATAAATAATGTATTTAATTTCATTAGAATTAGAAAACCCAAATCTCTGAAAATCACAGACTTTTACCTCTCCGAGTTCCTCATGGCTCTGTTCAGTGTAGGTGGTCTCCTTTAGAGGCTCGACAGGCTCAGGTTCAATGTATGAGTCATCTTGCCTTTCTGATGTATCTGTGTCACTGTCTTCACTTTTCCCCATCACCTCATTGTCAGACTCATCATGCTCTTGATCATTTTCTTTATCGGATTTATCAGAATACATATCTTGGTCCTTAAAATGCTGTCGTTCAATTTCACTATCATTTAACCTTAAGGAAAAGAATTATTAGAAGGAAGAATAAAAGAGGTTAAGAATATTTAATTTATAAATAAGAATGATACGTAATATTTACTAAGAATTTATTATGTGTTGGGAGCCATTCTTAATGTTTTATATAGTTTTACTCATTTAATCTTCAAAATAGCCATATGAGATTAGTAAATGGTACAGAGAAGTTAAGGAAAAATCTAGGGAAATGTTAAAGATGACACTGAACTCTTTATCTCCCTACCACTTAAGGCTAAAATTGTCCAAAAGCAACAATTTTATTTTATTTTAAAATATATTTTATTGATTATTTACAGAGAGGAAAGAGGAGGGTTAGAGAGTCAGAAACATCAGAGAGAGAAACATTGATCAGCTGCCTCTTGCACACTCCCCACCGGGAATGTGCCAGAAACCAAGGTACATGCCCTTGACTGGAATCAAACCTGGGACCCTTGAGTTCGCAGGCCAACGCTCTATCCACTGAGCCAAACCGGTTAGGGCCAAAAGCAACAATTTTAGAAGTTGCTGACTTTTTTTCTTAGTTTTGTAGTCACCATCACTTGAGTCAACCTCGTTGTCACTTCTGGTCTGAAGGAAAACTTCAAGTTTAGATCATCAGATAAATTATCAAGTGAACTCAAATGAAGTTATGACTTTCCACCCGTAAAGGTTGCCAAAGTCACTCAAAATAAGTATAAGACAAGAAATGTGAAAGGTAATAAGTATAGCTACTTAATACTTAACTGATAAAATAATCAAGAAAAAAGTTCAAGGAAAATTGGAAATTAAAATATTAGCTTGCCGAGACCGGTTTGGCTCAATGGATAGAGCGTCGGCTTGGGGACTGAAAGGTCCCGGGTTCGATTCTGGTCAAGGGCATTTACCTTGATTGTGAACATATCCCCAGTGGGGGGTGTGCAAGAGGCAGCTGATCGATGACTCTCTCATAGATGTTTCTAACTCTCTCTCTCCATTCCTCTCTGTACAAAATCAATAAAATATATTAAAAAAAGAAAAGAAAAAGAAAATATTAGCTTAAGGAAATAAACCTGTAACCTAAAATTGATATGCTCCTATAACCAATCCTGTTTATCCTAACCCTAAAGTGATTAGGGTCAATAATCTATACAAAAAAAGAATTAAAAAAAACCTTACTTCCAAAATTAATTTTTTTTAAAATAACTTTTTATTTAGGAAAGTATCTGTGGGTTTCATTTAGCATAAAAATCTTATAGGGATGAGCACTTAAGTACTTTAAAAATAAATACATACACGATGCCATTGATATTTTAGCAATGCTGAGGTAATAACAGAGCAGAGAAATCCTATTTAATTCCTATGTTAGTCTCAATTTTTCCAAAATCTTCATTTGTTTGTATTTTAACCAGATAATTTCTAACAGGAATTCACTTTTACATGCATATTACTTTCTTTCTTTCTTTCTTTCACTTTATGATTATATATTTTTTAAAGGTAGTCTAAAATTGCTCTCCTTACAATCTGGTCTTTACTCCCTTAAATCAGGTGACTCTGTTCCCTTAAAAGTCACTAATGATGGCTTAGTTAACAATCCCAATGGCCTTGTCTAATTTTTACCTCCTTTGACTTCTCTGCATTACTGAACTTAGATGATAATTATTTTCCTTGAAATAGTTTTAATGAGTGGGTTCCATGTAATTGTAGCTCTACTTTTTAAGCTCTCTATTCCCTCTTATTCCTTTTACCCTTAAATATTTTCATCTTCCTTGGCCCTTTTTTATTCTCTCTATTCTCTCTCCTTTGGCAAACTATCAAATTTCTATGTGATATCCAAACCCATGCATGCAGGAATACGCTTTAGACCCATGTTTTTAAATGCTTGGCTGACATCATCTATGTCTAGGGACTGCTGCATCTTCAACATGTATAATATTTAATAAATTATTATCTCCCCCCAAGTGGTCTTTTATTTTACCATCATCTTCCCTATCATTCAGGCATAAAACTTGGTAATCTTTAACTTTACCAACTTCCTATCCCTTACATCCAAGCAGATTTTCACTCCTCATCTCTGCATCATAGCTCACAGCTCATTTTCTGTCATCCAGCCAAAATGAACATGTTGATATGTTAATTCTACTTTTGCAAAAATCTGTTACCTCGATACTCTCCCTGTTAGAATGTTATGTCTTCATCCTATAAATTCTCTTGATCCTGTGTTACCCTAAAGCACATCTCCTTTGGTTGCTTATGTTATTCTTTTCTTTCTAATATTTATTGCTACCTGGAATTTATAGGAGTCAAAAACAAAACATCTCTCAGGATCACATAGCTAATAAACTTACACTGGATTCAAATTTGGATAGGGAGATGAATCTCCCTATCCAAAATTATACAGAAAAGTGTATAGTATCTTACACAGAAAACAGGCTTTAGCCGAAACCGATTTGGCTCAGTGGATAGAGCGTCGGCCTGCGGACTGAGGGGTCCTGGGTTCGATTCCGGTCAAGGGCATGTACCTTGGTTGCAGGCACATCCCCAATGGGGGGTGTGCAGGAGGCAGCTGATCGATGATTCTCTCTCATCGATGTTTTTAACTCTCTATCCCTCTCTCTTCCTCTCTGTGAAAAATCAATAAAATATATTTTTTTTAAAAAAGAAAGAAAACAGGCTTTAAATTTTTAATGAATAAATATGTGAAGCAAATGAATTGTTAAGATCCCCAAATAAGAGCATTTAAAGATTACCTGGTATTGAACAAAAACAATGAATGTTTTATAGCTGAAGAACTTAAATAAAAAAATTTCAGGGAGAGGCCCCAACAAACAGCCATTCCTATATAAATTGTGCTCCCACCCCCAATCTTTTCCCATTCAGGCTTTTGTTCTGAGGATTAAAATAAAACTCCAGATTATAATTCTGCAAAGAAAGGATGTAGAAGGTCAGGTAATGGAAATTTTCAAAGAGAGTGAAGAAAAAGAGTCAAGCAAATGGATAAGAAAAAAAAAAAGTTCAGTTCAGGTCACATGGAGAACAGCAGTCTAACAACTTTCAGGAGAGTAATCCAATGCCCATAGTAATAAGTGGCTGTAGAGCAGAAATTGAGCATTGATGCAAGGGAGGAAAGGGGGAAATATAATGTTTTTCCTACAAAACAACAAAAGAAATCTGAACCTAAACAAACCTTTGAACCTCAAGGAAAGTATTGTGTTTCTCTGAAGAAATTTTTTTTTTAAATTAACTATTGTAAATGCTTCAGGTGATAAAAACCAAAATAAGACACAGTTCCAACTCAAAGCACAATATCATAGGAGAATTCCACAAATACCAGAAAGAATTAAGTACCATTACAAAAAAAAGAAAAAAAAGAAAGAAAAAAAAAGAAAAACCATTACAGAACAGCAATAGAAGGCCAGATATTTCATGGTTAGCATGAAAATTGTTGCATATAACATTTGAATCAGTATTAAAGAATTACATAGTCTTATGACAGGAGAAAAGAGCAAGGTAGACTTTCACATATGATATCATATTTGCGGTCAGTCTTGAAGAATACATAGTCTTTTGATGGGAGAAAAGAGCAAGGTAGACTAGAAATCATTTTTAATGAAGGGAACACCATGCACAAAGACAAGGTAGACAGCATGATTGCATTTGGGAAATAACAAGTAATTCACATTAGTTAGGATCACGGAAATAACTTTCTATACCTCATCATAGTAACTAAACAAATCTTAAACCAGGCCTTAGACCATATAACCAGAAGAAGACAGCCAAGTTTCAATCCTACAAACACTACAAAAATTCTAAACCTACCAATTAATCTAGTGAATTACATGGTATCCTTAGTAATTACCAAATTAGGGGCAATATCGACTTACTGGAAGTTGTCACCACTGTGAAGATTGTTAGCACGTAATAAGCCATACAAAGTCACATGTGTGTTCTCTGATGAAATGCTCAGATCATGTTCCTTCCCTTCCCTGATCATTGTACGTTTAAGAAGACTAGAACATTTCAAAGCCAACTCCAAAGCATCCATCCAGCACCTTCCTAGAAGAACACAGATTCATAAGTGGTATAATTCAAGAAACCACACAAGCTAGCATCCATCTTAATGTAACACTGTTAGCCTTTAGGCATAATATTATTTCTCTGAGAAACATGCACTGGAAAAGTTACTTTGAACACAAAGTCTTACAAGGACTTCTAAATGTGATTTTTCAGTTTACCAAGTGATTTCTATATCCTACGTATCTAGAAACTATTAATGAATAGAATATAGCACACATTGGTAAGTATACCTAGTGAAAATACATGTTTTAATTTTTTTAAAAATTTTTAATTATTATTATTTTTTTTAGATTAATAAAGCTTGGAGCTAGGTGGGTGCCATCTCTCTGATGGAGAGACAGTCACACTCACAAAAGACAACACAGCATATTTATTGGCTTCCAAAGGGGAATTTAAAGTCAAAAGGAGTTTCGGGTGTGTCCAGATCCTATTCATCAAAATATGGGTAAGCTCCTTATTTTTTAGTACAAGATTTAGCATATCCACATGTTTTAATTTTTAAATTTTAGAACATTAATATATAGTATAATTTGAAGGTACCAAAAAGGTACATAAAATATACTGAAGAGGTTATGTTTTATAAACAAACTAAAAAATGTTTTGTTGGTAGTGGGTCTATTCCCAGGTTTAATATCCATTTACTCATATGTATAAAAAATTTTAAGTCAGGGAAATGCGTGACAATACTGCCATTAACTGCCATATCAGTTAGTAGAAACATTATTAACTTTATTTTTTTTAATTAAAATTTAGAACTATAATTAGCAGAAAAAAATGTTACTTTCACTTAAAAATCCACATATATTTGTTTCAGCACCTGCTGGAAATATCAGCCAAATAAAACACTTTCATAAAAAATACTTGTGCCTATGATAATTTAAAAAATAATCATTTGGTAAAAATAAACTCTGGAGGGCTACAAGATTCCTTAGGCTAAGCTAGTCTAAACTATAAAATATAAAAGTGCGACAGAAATCCAATATCAATTAGTAAAGATACCTTGATTTCAAATAAATAAGTTTTGCTCTCCCTGTATTTGCTTCAGGAATTATGTATCATGTTAATAAGTGCAGAACAACAGTTTGCAATCAAATGTTTATATTAAAAAAAATTGTAACAGTGCCTTAAAAATGTTAATACTTAGTGGTAAAAAATAGTATTTAACGGCTGCGCCATACAACTTGGCGGCTGTTACTGTGTGTCTACCTGGGGGCACAGGGCTCAGAGGAGCAGGACTCTGTGCCCAGGGGACCGGTGTGGCCATGGACTGTCTGTGGGTGCCATGCATGCCTGGGCGGTCACATCACCGCCCCTTCCTGCAGGAAAGGGGATGGAGCTTAGAGGGGTCAGGCTGCTTATCTGGCTGACGAAGGGGCAGGGCCAGGACCCAATGGGAGGGGGTGGAGGACTCAGCCTGTGCCCATACCAGCTCCGCTGACGGGACAGCGCGCCTCGCCTGCAGGACGGCCCGTGTGCAGGACGACACGGGTCTCCCCGGCTGGCGCCTTGCTCACTGACTGGTGGGTGCTGCCTGGAGCTCTGGGTGGCAGGGTGCACTGAGCCCCCTGGCAGGGGCCAGTGTGGGTGGCTGGCCGCAGGTCAGTTTTTACCAGCAGAAGCCTCAGAAGCCTGCGCCCCCATTGGGCGGGAGGAAGGGGTTCGCCCCTCCTCCAGGGCAGGCTTCCCAGAGGCCACGCCCCCTTCTGAGCTGCCCCTTAAGGGTGAGGCCTGAGAGGACAGACCCCTCCCCGGGGGCCAGCTGCATCTTGGCTGCTGTGGACAGATGGCATCCGCCTTCCCGGGACGGACAGGATGAGGGCCTGTGGGGAGCACTGGAGGGGCGCAGGGCTCAGGAGGAGGGCGGGGGCAGTGCCCCCTGGCCACGGAGGGGAAGGGGCTGTGGAGCCGGGCAGGCCTGCGGTCAGATTCTGCTCTGCCGCTTCCTGGCCGCCTGACCCAAGGCAGAGATCTCGCCCCCGGGAGCTCAGTCTCCTCATCTGTGAAATGGGACTCCGTGTGGAAAGGTCTGGCGTGGGGCAAGCAGGCCGCAGCCCTGACCACTCTGCCCCCGGCCCCTCTCCCTCTCTGCTGTAAACGCCAGCACACGCCTGGCTTCGGGCTTCTATTTCCAGCCAGCGCAGAGCACCACCAAGTACGGAAAGCCTTCGTTCAGTCCAGAAGAGGGTGGAGCGGACTCTGTCCGTGGGGTAGATTACAGAGACAGTAAAGCAACAAGCAGATTGTCAAATTACAACGGGGAGTGGAGGAGGGTCTGGGGGAGACAATAAATCAACCCAAGGACTTGTATACATGCATATAAGTACAACCAATGGACATAAAACTCTGGGGAGGGAGGGGATACGTGGGAGGGAAGGAGGGGGCAAAAAAAATCAATAAAATATGTAAAATAAAAAAAAAAAATTAAAAAAAAAAAAAAATAAAAAAATAAAGTATCATGTTTGTCTGAAAAAAAAAAAAAAAAAAAAAAAAAAAAAAAAAAAAAAAGTACCTTTAAAATGATAAAACTTAATGAGTTACCACAGAGAACACTAATCAAATCAAGAAGATGTAAACATGTCAGTGAAGGACAAAGAAGAAACTCAAGGCTGTTAATTCATCATTTAATTATCCAATGCCTCATTCCTATCGGATTCCTCTGTTTTCTACCAAGTTAATGATATATTTGATGCTCTAAACAATTGATTACAATACTTCTGCTGCAAATACCATACTAAAGACAGATTTTCCCAAAAGAAAACACACAGTGGAATATAAATAAACCTTTTAAAATGAGACCAAAATCCAATCCATTCATTAAAAAAAACAAAAACACCTATATTTACCATCTGACTCTGAAGTAGCTCGGATGATCAAGTAACTGCTAGGTAAGGGCTGAGTTATGGATCCAACTGCTTCACCTTTTGGACCCTTAAAATAAACAAATAAAATAAAAATAAGCAAAATAAATGGCATATAATATTATAACATCTTGACCTTATATTATCTACTAGAGGCCCAGTGCACAAATTTTCTAAGACCAGAATGTCTCTAAGACCAGCCTGAACCCTCTCCAATCTAGGATCCCTTGAGGGATGTCTGACTGCCCATTTATCCCCAATCTTAATGGGATCCTAATGGCAATTAGGCAGTCGGACATCCCTCTCACAATCTAGGACTGCTGGCTCCTAACTGCTCGCCTGCCTGCCTTCCTGATTGCCCTTAACCTCTTCTGCCTGCCAGCCTGATCACACTTACTCACTCCCCTGCCAGCTTGATTGATGCCTAACTGCCCTCCCTGCCAGCCTGATCACCTCTAACTGCCCTCCCCTGAAGGCCTGGTCCCCCCAACTGCTCTCCCCTGCAAGCTGCATTCCCCCCAACTGCCCTTCCCTTCAGGCCCAGTTGCCCCCAACCTCCCTCCCTTGTAGGCCTGGTCCCTCCCAACTGCCATCCCCTGTTGCCCTGATTGCCCACACTGCCCTCCCTTGCAGACCTGGTCCCTCCCAAATGCCCTCCCCAGCTGGCCATCTTGTGTCCACTTGAGGGCAGCCATCTTGTGTGTTGGAATGATGGTCAATTTGCATATCACTCTTTTATTAGATAGATTATTTATAACGGTCTAAATTAGCCATGGATTAGAATTTAAAAGCAAACAAGATTTAATTTCATTCTTCTTGAGAAAGCAAATGTTAAGTATTAAGGAAAGTTTTCCTTTTCCAACAAATATACCTCCTTACCAAAAAATTTAACAACTTACAGTTATCATTAGTTAAACATTATATCTGTACATTATTCACACTTAAAGGAAAACCTAAAATTCACCAAATGAGATAAAATTTTAACAGAGAATTTCCATCTCACATGTACTACTAGAAAAAAATACTTAATTTTTAGAACCTATAAAGAAACAGCTGGAAAGAAAAAAAAACAGCTGGAAATATAGCTATAATTTATAAGCAAAAAAAAGAAGAAGAAAAAAAAAGAATTTTTACTATGTCTAGGGAAAAATAAAGGTCCATTTATAAGCAATAATATATTTCTAAATAGCAACTATAAAAGCTAATTTTAAAGAAATTTTATTGTTGTTGGCTAGGGTTGTTTTAGAAGTATACACCACCAAGAGCTCTACAGTAATTATTATCATCAAGGTTAATCTTAGGAGACATACTTCTTATTTGAAATGAAAAATCTGAGGATTCAATTTATAGTATAATTTTTATAGAAAAGCATAATTTTCAAGTTCTCGGATCAAGGAGTTAAATGAACTTTAAAAAGTATAATCAGCTGGGACTGGTTTGGCTCAATGGATAGAGCATCGGCTTGGAGACTGAAAGGTCCCGGGTTCGATTCCAGTCAAGGGCATGTACCTTGGTTGCAGGCATATCCCCAGTAGGGGGTGTGCAAGAGGCAGCTGATCGATGACTCTCTCTCATCGGTGTTTCTAACTCTCTATCTCTCTCCCTTCCTCTCTGTACAAAATCAATAAAATATATTAAAAAAAAAAAAAAAAAAAAAAAGGATGATCAGCCGAAGCCGGTTTGGCTCAGTGGTAGAGCATCAGTCTGCAGACTGAAAGGTCCCAGGTTCGATTCCAGTCAAGGGCATGTATCTTGGCAGCAGGCACATCCCCAGTAGGCAGCTCTCATCAACGTTTCTAGCTCTCTATCTCTCTCCCTTTCTCTCTGTTAAAAATTAGTAAAATATATATATATATATATTTTTTTAAAAAAGTATAATCATTACAAAGTAAAGACGCAGAGTCAAAATTTAAAAATAGAAAAATCAATATGATTTTAACAAATCTTCTAAAATCCCTTGGGTATTTTCAAATAGCTTTATAATTTACTAGAGGCCTGGTGCAAGAAATTTGTGCATGAGGAGGTGGGGTTGTCCCTCAGCCCAGTCTGCACCCTATCCAATCACGGACCCTTTGAAAGATGGCCGACTGCCTGTTTAGACCTGATCCGGGTTCAGATCTAAATAGGCAGTCGGATATCCCTCTCACAATCCAGAACTTCTGGCTCCCAACCACTTGCCTGCCTGCCTTCCTGATTGTCTCTAATCACTTCTGCCTGCCAGCCTGATCACCCCCTAACCACCCCCTTTCCAGTCAGATCAACGCCTAACTGCTCCCCTGCCGGCCCTATTGCCCCTACCTGCCCTCCCCTGCAGGCCTGGTCACCCTTAACTGCCCTCCCTTGCTGGCCTGTCACCTCTAACTGTCCTCCCACGAAGGCCTGGATCCCCCCACCAACTGCCCTCCCTTGCAGGCCTGGTCCCTCCCAATTGCCCTCCCTTGCTGGCCATCTTGTGTCCACATGGGGCAGCCATCTTGTGTGTTGGAGTGACAGTCAATTTGCATATTATTCTTTTACTAGATAGGATGAGACAGTTCTTAGAACCAGTATAGAGTAGTAACTAGTCAAGACTGTTTGGATTTCAACTATGGTTCCATGTTAGACAAATTATTAAGTAACCTTTTTAGGCCTCAGTCTCTGTCTGTTAATAGGAGAAAACTGTATCCTCCTTAAAGTTATGAGAATTAAAAAAAAAATATTCCATATAAAATGCTTAAAAGAATCCCTGATACATAGTTAAGTACTCATAAACATTATTTTTTCCTAATCATGGACACTGACTTTAAAAGTGTTTAAACAATGTCCTAAGAAAGTTTTGCTTGTTGAGAATATTCTCATACTTATGTACTTGAACAAACTTCCCTCTCACTGATAGTTAGAATTAAATAAACTTGACATCAAAATTTATTTTTTATTATTTATTAATTTTTTTATTTATTGGTTTTAGAGAGGAATGGAGGCAGGAGAAACATCGACCTGTTGCTCTATTTATTTATGCATTCATTGGTTGCTTCTTATGTGTCCTGACCAGAGAATGAACTCACACAACCTTGGTGTATTGGGACAATGCTCTAACCAACTGAGCTACCTGGCCAGGGCTAAAAATATTTTTAATGACTTAAAACTCATTATAATTCTTATGATTCCTAAAAGTAATAGTAAAGAAAAAATGCTATATATAAAAGGTTTTGAAAATGCTATATATAAAATACTATATAAAAAAATACTTTTTCATTTGAGTATAATACAGGCTGTATGGATTAAATTCTTTACCCTGTGGGAACTGTCTAATTCCAGAACTAGGCTACCGAAATAAAGGTAAAAAGTCCAGTTTTTTTCCCTATGTATATGTGTTTTTTTTGTTTGTTTTCTTTCTTTTTTTTTAATTTATTTTTTTACATATTTTTCCCTATGTATATGTATATTGCCCAATTAAACAACAAAATTATTTAAAAGCTGAAGATTTTCTTAGTGTTAATCTCAATTAGGTGGTTTTCCTTAAAGGAGTTCTAAACCCTTTATTCAAATATAACTGGTCTTTCAAATTAAAACAATGGTGGCTTTGTAAAAACTTAGACTAGGTTCAGACACATTTATTCTGTTAGCATGTACTGCACATCTACTGTTTGTAGAATTTCTTGGTAGTTAATAAAAATAAGGCTTTTCGCCAAAACCGGTTTTGGCTCAGTGGTAGAGTGTCGGTCTGCGGACTAAAAGGTCCCAGGTTCGATTCCGGTCAAGGGCATGTACGTTGGTTGTGGGCACATCCCCAGTAGGGGGTGTGCAAGAGGCAGCTGGTCGATGTTTCTCTCTCATCGACGTTTCTAGCTCTCTATCTCTCTCCCTTCCTCTCTGTAAAAAAATCAATAAAATATATTTTTAAAAAAAGGCTTTTCTATCTTCCTGATTAAGTTTCTGATATTATAACATAGGAGTGACCACAGTAATGTTCTTTAGTTATAAAGCATTAGAGTTCCATTTCAAAGAACATTGCCTCTCAAGAGTAAGAAAGACTGTGACTGCTTATACTTACCACATATTTACATTACTATAGAAAAAAACTTACAAAAAAAATAAATGGCAGCTTCTGTTCTATGATACCTTACAATTTTGACAAACAGAAAAACACAGTAAATATGATACATTACAAAGCAAAATTATTAATTGCCATTTTAATAAAAACAGTACAAACTGAATCCCCATGGCAAAGAGATAATAAACAATATAAATTAAATATAACTTAAACATTTTTTTCTGGAAAAATGTTTAAGTTATATCTTAAAGGTAAATAAGAATATTTGGTGTACATTTCATTGGACAGAGGAATAATACTCTTAAAAACAGAAATAAATTTATAAGTGCTGGCACAGAACAGCAACCATTAGATTAAATGATCTGTCTCAGTTCTACTCACAGATTACCATCTCTGCTTTTTACCTATATAATAAGTACTTACCTTCACTGCCCAAATAGATTGCTCCAAAGGATGAAACAGTTTGAAACAAAAGCCATCTTTTTTTGATGGACGCTCAATGATTTCACAGGCATTCAGAAGGACTGTTCCTACCCACTGACCATTTTTTTGGGTTTTATAGATCAGTAGCACCCCAGGTTTCAAAACGCACCACAACTTAGTCCAGCTCTTTAGAGTACCACGTATCTACAGAAAATAAGGATAAGAAATAAGGCTTTGTTTTTTTCTCTTTCTGTTCTACAAAATGTAAACTGAATAATGGCAAATAGGATGTTTTAATTTAAAATTTCTAGAAAATGTACATGTTAAAGTCAATAGATATTTCTTTAAACCTACTAAATGATAAGCACTAATAATAAATATATAAATAGCTAAAACCAGTTTGGCTCAGTGGTAGAGAGTTGGTCTGTGGACTGAAAGGTCCCGGGTTCGATTCCAGTCAAGGGAATGTATACATTGGTTGCGGGCACATCCCCAGTAGTGGGTGTGCAGGAGGCAGCTGGTCGATGTTTCTCTCTCATCGACGTTTCTGCTCTCTATCTCTCTCCCTTCCTCTCTGTAAAAAAATCAAAATATATTTAAAAAAAAAAAAAAAAAAAAAAAAAAAATATATATATATATATATATATATATATATATATATATATATATATATGGCATGACTCCTGTTTCTGAGGATCTTAAATTCTAGTGGGAGACTGGGTCACCAGTTTCAAAATATTGTACTAAGTAGAATGGTTTTCCTAACCTTTTCGGTTAGGTCAGGGACGATTAAAATACTAGGAGTCCTGCACAGGAGCCAGTAGCTTACTGCCCAGACCCCTCCTGTAGCTCTCCGCCCACTGCCCCGCCCTCCTGTAGCTCTCCCTGCCTCCTCTTCACCTCCCCAGCTCGATAGCTTGCTGCCCTGCCCCCTCCTGTAGCTCTCTGCCACCCACTAGTAGCTCGCTGCCCCATCCTCCTGCTGATCCATGATTGGTTCTTACCCGGTAGGTCGTTATGCGTCAAAGCATAATGACCACTTGCATTTTACATCTTTATTATATAGAATGTGTTCCTAATAGTCTCCTCTTAGCATCTGTAACAGCTGTAATTTTATTTCTGAGTATAAGATTATCCTACCTTTTAAGATCTTACCCCCTTAGCACTACATAAAGTGCTGCAAACACATACCAGAAATTCCCTAAATTTGGTGAGTGGTATAAAAAAAAGGGAATAACATCCTCTATCCCTTAATCACCTTCTCTAAATTATTCCATTGTTAGTAATTACATAAAGTGTGCCATATAAACTTCTTGGGTAAATTTGAAGCACAAGTCACATAACTCTCTCTAGTCTTATAAAATGTTCCGCATCCTAGGTTTTAATGCTATGTAAAAAAAGTAATCTATAGCTAGCTAGCTTTTCCTATTCTATTTCTGTAACCCATTAAAAGTGTTTCTATGTAAGTCACTAAATTCACAGTACTAAAAAGGATGCTAATATAATATTGAGATTAAAAACTAGGAATTATCCTCAGTTTTATTTACTGTAAAGCATCTGTTCCCTCAAATAGGCATACCACAGTAACTCTAGACAAGCAAAATTCAGAAAGGGCGAGTTTGGAATTAGACATGAAGAAAAGAGAAAATCTTTAAGAAAAAGTATGCATATATGTAAAAGAGATGGAAAGGTAAAAGTTATTCTGAGATAAGATTCTAGATCTTGGAGATGTGATAGTAAAACATGGATGGTAAATTATCAGAATGCAGGTAGGATTTAGAAAGTCAGCCAGGGGAAGCATTAGGGAGTTTTAGGAACTGGTTAGGAAAATCCAATGTCAAAAAGACAAGAGTAGGTTTAGCTCTGAAAAACCCAAGTGAGATCTAGAGTTTGAAGTTTTTTAAGAAAAGCCAAAATTAGAAGTGTTTTCAGCACAACATTGAAGAAGACCCTAATATTACTTGAATTCTCAGGGAAACCAGCACTAGACTCATGTTAGTAAGAGAACTTAAATGACAGATCTCATAAAGGTTTTAGGTTTGGTGATTGTACCAACTCTTTCGGAAAGTGCAAAGCTTTCAGGAATGGGGTAATTTTTAGGTCAATGACAGGTACTAAAATTTCTTGAGTCAGGGTTTTATAAGATCATCCTCACAGTTAGCCTTAGTCTGAAAGATTATTATCAAATATCCTCCTAATAAGAACACGAGAGAGTGACTGATATGATAAAAAAAGGAAATAAAAATAAGTGGGAATAACCAGAGGCCAAAAAGTAAGTCATGGAAACAGCAGTACGTACGTTTCTCTGAAAACTAATCCTTTTCAAATGATAATTTTTATATTAACTTTGTATCATATCTTCTCAATGCATATACCAAGTCTGTAATAATACTAAATGATAATCTGAAAATAATTTTTTAAAAATCCTCAAAGGTATTTTCCTATTGATTTTTAGAGAGAGTGAAAAGACAGAGGAGGGGGAGAGAGAAAAACATCAATGTGAGAGAGATCCATTGATTGGTTGCCTCCTGCACATGCCCCAACTCAGACTGGCAAAGGATCGAACCTGCAACAGAGATACGTGCCTTTGATTTGGCTCTTGTCACTGAGCCAAAGTGCTTAGGCCAAAATATTTTTTTTACAGTATATTGATTAGACTACATAATATCATACAAATCAAAAAGCCTTTTTAAACAAACTGCTATACATATTTGATGTTGTCAAGAGAGAACAACATTTAAGGTCACTTCTCCCATCAATATTGGAACAGAGAATCTCTGGGATATAATTAATAGTTTGTCAGTAAAAAACAATCATCTTAGTAGTTATTTATGTCTTGCAGAATGGCTTTAGTGTACTCTGGGCTTTCTTATTCCAGTAGATAAACATCCAGCAATAAGAATTCAAGATTCAATACAAACTGACCTTCAACCAATCAGCCATGACAATAACAGAAGGATCTGTGATTGAACTGAGTAATTCCTTTGTGGCTCTTTTCTTTTCTTCTCGGTAATTTTTCTTTTGCACCTATTTTACAGAAACAATAGCAAAGTTAAAAAATTATTAGAAATGGGCAATTTATTTTCAAAATTTTTAGTTCTATAGAATGTAGAGTATAAAACTCTAACCCTCTTTTAGAATTCTAGCATCTTAGGATAAAAGAACTATTTTTTTTTTTTAAAGAACTGGTAGAATTTTTAGAGTAGTATGGTTAGAATCTAACTTCTGATCACTAGTTCAGTTCTCTGTATCTTTTTAAAAAATTCTACCTTCTTAAAATTACACAATAATACATAAATACAATCTCCTGGTAAAAATTTAAAACACAAATAAAGCTAAAAAGGCATCTTTCGTATATCATATGCTATTTTAACCCATAGAATTACTGTTAACTGTTTTGAAAATACTGTCCTTTTAGCCCTTCTCTATGTATAGAACCTATAAGAATATACAACTTTTGTGTTTTGAGTTTTTAAACACATTAAAATTTTTTTCTCCCATTCATTATTTTCCCCCCCATGCATTTCCATGTCTCTCTCCATTTCCAGCATTTCCATGTCTCTCTCCATTCATTCATTCATTCATTCACTCACTCATTTATTCATTCAGTTAAATTGGGTGTTCAGTTAAACACCCAAGGATGTTTTTCCATTGATTTTTAGAGTGCAAGGGACGGAAAGAGACATAGAGAGAGGAACACTGATGTGAAGGAGACACAGAGCTGGCTGCCTCCCACACATGCCCTGACCAGGGCTAGGGATTGAGCCTGCAATAAAAGTATGTGCCCTTGACCGAAATCAAACCCGAGATCCTTCAGTCCATGGGCTGACCTCTAGCCAAATCTGCTAAAGCTCCAGTTCATTTTTTCTCTGCTACATATAATTCCTAGTATAAATATTAAGAGCTAACATTTACTGGGTATATTCTGTGTGCCAGTCACAGTTCTAAGCACTTTGCATGTTTTACTTCATTTAATCTTTACAATAACCCTGGGAAGTAGGATTATTAGTACCCTTATTCTACAAAAGATAAAACTGAGGCACAGAGAGTAACTTGCCCAGGATCACAAAGCTAGTAAGTCACAGAGGCAGGATCCAAACAGAGGCAGACTGACTCTAAAAGACTTAACCACCACGCCATATTGCTTCTAAAATTTTTCTTAATATATTCTCATACTCACGGAAATCTTCTCTGTTAGAATTTTTTTTTACATTATGAACAACGCTGCAACAACTTGCAACTGGCAATTTTGCTGTTATTAATATGTAAAATATAAATAACTATGCCAGGGGGAATAAGATATGTACACAGATAATAATTTAATAATAAAATAAAATAATAATAAAAATAAATAACTACGCCAGTTCTGAGATAATTTGGGAAAGTAGCAGTGAATTAATCTTAGCCTTATTATTGCTTTGTTATTATTACATGGATGGGAGAAGAATGATAGTAACCTATTAGTGATATGCGTATGCTTTTTAACTATAACACAAAATCTTCCTAGTTTCACTTAATGGTACAGAGACTGCATACAAGTAACAAAATCTTAATAATTCTACAGCCAAAAAATTGTAGACTTTTGGTCTTTATTATAATGCACATATGAATTAAGAGTAGATTTAATATGAAATTATAAGTACAAATAAACACAAGATCAATTATGGGGACGTAAAAAGGTATGAGACTATACAGGGATCAGAGTCAACTGGAAAGGATGTATTCCTTAGGCTCCAGGATCGGTGGTGATCTGGAAGGCAGGCTCCATGCTGCACATTTCTTAAGAGAAGCTGGAAATCTGAACTTGTAATTGTTGAATTTTTAAAACACTGGGTAGGTCAAACAAAATACAGCGGGTCCTCAAATAATGAGGACAAATTATTTTGTTCAACACTGCTTCATTATAAGTCATTAGGTGCTACAGGAACTTAACTTGTTTATATCAATTTGCCCATGGTAAAATTGGTTTTGTCATCATTTCACCTCAGTTCTAAAAATCAACTGACAATGTTAAATGAGGACTTCTGTATATTTACCCAATGGCCAAATTCAGCCCATGCATGGCTCACCAGTTAGTAAACTTGAATTTCAAAGAGCATAGTGATGTGCCTGACTGAGGACGGCTCTGCAGAGACACCTAGTCATCTACCCCTGCAGTGGCCAAATGAGGCCTGAAAGAGCTCTGGGATAGTCATTATGCAGCCTTTTCAGTTGACTCCAGAATGTCATACAAATATTGACATTTTTAATGTGTGCCTCTCTGGGTTTTTTTATTCTTCTTTCAAGAAGACTCATTTACTTCTTTATCTTATTAGCTTATTTTCAAAAGCACATGCAAAGCATAATGTTAGTTATGAAATTACTATGGAAACTAACCTTGAGAGATTCTTTTTTTGTGAGCTTGCTTGAAGCTGTACTGTCCTTCTCCGAGCCATTATAAAGTTTAGATTCAGACTAAAATCACACAGAAATGAACAACAAAAAATTAAAACCTTCATTTATCCTAAACATATGACATAAAAATATTAATGTTCAAGCGAGACTTGTACATTCTTCCCATTTATTGCTATGATTTCGGCAAATGTTGATTTTCAAATACTGATTTTCCATGTAGTATAGTATTTAGATTTAAAAACTAATCCATAGTAGGGGATAAAACATAATAAACAAAAACAGTACTATGCTAAATACTTTATGTGTACTACCTCATTTAATCCTCTAGACAACCCCATGAGACAGTAGTATCTCCTATAGCTAGTTCTAAAAAAAAAAAAAAGAAAAAGAATGTAGTGACCAAGAGGTCTGCATTCTTTTAAAATATATCATTAAGTTTTTAGAATGAATAGGTTACCTTTTAAATACACCTCCAAATATATATACATACATAATATATATACATACATAATATATATATATATGTGTATATATATATATATATATATATATATATATATATTTTTTTTTTTTAATAGTTTAAGTTTTCCTTCTTTTAAAACCTTATTGGCCACTACCTGTTTTGTTTGGTTTTGTTAATTCTCACTCAAGGATATCTTTCCTATTGTTTTTTTTCTTTTTTCTTTATTCATTAAGGTATTACATATGTGTCTTTATTCCCCCATTGCTTCCCCTGGCCACCACTCATTGGTTTTTAGAGAGAGTAGAAAGGAGGGAGAGTCGGAGGGGGTGAGAGAGACACACCCATTGGTTGCCTCCTGCATACACCCCATACTGGGGCAGGGATCCAGCCTGCAACCCAGGCAAGTGCCCTTGTCTGAGAATTGAAATCAAGACCCTTCTGTGCTTGGGCAGAAGCTCTAATCACTAAGCCAAACCAGCCAGGGCACTGACCATTATCTTAACCATGAGAGTTAAGATTCAAACCAGCTTTATTTACTCTAAAGCAGTGCTGTCCAGTAGAGCTTTCTAAATGACAGAAATGCGAAACTTTCCATATCTCAGTTGTCCAATATGGTAAACACTAGTCAAATGTGGCTATAAAGCATTTGAGATGTGGCTGATATAACTGAGAAACAGAATTGCTAATTTTATTTAATTTTAATTACTTTAAATTTAAAGAGTAATGTATAATTAGGTGCTGCTGTACTTAAAGAGCAGTTTCAAAGTATACTGTTTCACTAAGGTATATAAACTTTCTTTCTAGGTTCCATGCTCCCCACCCCCCTATTTTTAGACTACATATAGGGGTGGGGTTTAAGTGTTTAGGCTACAAACCAATTCTGACATTAAGGTTTGAAAATAGGTTTTTAAAATCCTATAAATTGCATTGTATTTTTAGCCATGGCAGATCCAAGATAATAACTTTCTTTTTAATTTTCTTAAAGTATATATTTTATATAAAATAATCAAGGCATTTCTCATGTATATGTTACCTACATATAAAGTACTATTAAACTTCCATCCTAAGTAATTTTACATATATGATTGATGGACATTTATGTAATGAATATTTGAAAAGTTAAGTGTGAATAAAATTTGTGTAAAATTATACATTAAAACATGTGTAATGTTCTCAACCACTCCCAAGAACAGGGACAAAAAGTGTAGAGTTTTTAAAAGCAAAGCCATTTGTTGAGAATAGCAGAGAATTGACTAGCTTAAGAAAAAATTTGGTTTATTTTATTTTAATTATTTAAGTATTTGGGGTTTAGTAGAGCTTTATAGGTTTTCTTACTTCACATCTTCAAAGTTTGATTCCACAAATACAAGTTTCTCCTGCAATTAAACCAGAATAGTCAAAAGTCAAACCCCTTGCCAAAACCGGTTTGGCTCATTGGATAGAGCGTCGGCCAGTGGACTGAAAGGACCTTTCAGTCCACTGGCCGACGCTCTATCCAATGAGCCAAACCGGTTTAGTATATGTGCTGCCGAAGCGAGCACGAAAGGTCCCCTGTTTGATTCTGGTCAAGGGCATGTACCTTGGTTGTGGACACATCCCCAGTGTGTGCAAGAGGCAGCTGATCGATGATTCCCTCTCATCAATGTTTCTAACTCTCTATCCCTCTCTCTTCCTCTCTGTAAAAAATCAATAAAATATATATATTTTTTTTCAAAAAATCAAATCCCTTGACATATTATAGAAATCTAGTAAATTACAATACAAACCCATAGGAAAACTAAGGCATCCTACAGTGCTTCTCAATTTATTTCTCAAACATGTACTTTAAAATGGAAAATATCTCAGCAGACCTAATAATATGTACAGGTATTCTAGTTTGAGAAAAATTAACTCAGGAAAATATGTCTTATTTTAAGAAAATGTCTTTCATTTGCAGGCTATTACTATAAGAGATCATTGGCCTTGCGTAAAATGTACACACTTTGATTGTCCTTCGAATAAACCCCAAATACTTAAAGAATTAAAAAACACACACACAAACATAAACCCTGATTTTCTCCAAATGGAACTATCAGATTTCAGTTTGAGAAGTATTGCTGTAGCAGCCATACAAGAAACAATAACTCCAGAGAGGATACTGGTTACCAAAATGCTGTATTTGCAAGTAAACAACAGACCCAGTGAAACTTTCCTTTTCTCACCGTATCATACATGATTTAGATATACCAACATAAGAACATCTCACAAGATCTGATAGGATTACTGTGTTAGTTTCCTCATCTTAAATGTTAGAAAAATGTTATAATCATATATTTGGGGACAACAATACGCTTACCTTGCTCTTTGACATAGAAAGTGAAGAGTCATCTCTATTTTGAGAATTGTCTTCCCTTCCTCTTTCAAAACCTTTAAAAACATTGAGATTATATCAGTATCACTACTTTGGGCACATATAGGCACTAAAAGCAAATGTAATTAAGTCATTCAATTTCAAATATACATTATGTTTTATGTACATTAAGCCTAGATTGAACATACAGTTTTAAACTATTTTAAGTTTAAAGATTTCTAGTATAATAATTCTCTAGAATAAATTAAGACTTCCAGAGGTAATGAAATCCTTCCCTGAATCCACCAACCCCAAGCTATATACCTTTGAATTCAGGCTTCATGGAGCTTTTGTTCTGCGAGTGAACTGTTTCCTTATAAAGAATCCTGATAAACCAATCTAACATATTTTTCATACTTCCTACCAAACTAAAAAACAATTCAGAATTAGTGATAAAAGATGACCAGGGCAATAAATCTTGACTGAGGAAAAGGTTTAAATCTAATAATGTACTTATGGTAAGATGCCAGGGTTCTTGTTCCGGCTTTAAGAAGGGTTCAGCAATCTGGAGAAAGGATGTCTGTAACTTAAGTAAGAGTCCAGAGATGAAAGATAATTTTGAAAGGCATTGGGGATCAGAGGAGCCTGGCTGAAGAAATCAAGTTCTCCTTGTCTTAGGACCCCTTGCTTTTTATTAACACAAATTGTCCTAAGGCAAGGAGATATACATTTCAAAGGATAGGGCTTCCATACAGAAGCATTGTCAGATTGGGGAATAGCCTATGGTGGCTGTTCAGGTGTTTGGCCAGTAGGAGGCAATAACATGTAGATTAAGATGCCCTGAGCTGTCTGGAAGCAAACAATCATCCTTTTCAGGTTTGGGGGAATGACTTCAGCCATTCCCAACAGGCAATAACATATGTGACTTAGCACTTATTGAGTCCCCAAGTTCCATCAACCTTTTGATGAAACTCTTGCAACTATGACAAGCTGGAACTGGCTTCCAGCAGTGAGAATTAAATGAAATTGCACGGAAAGCAATTAGCATAGTATTCTACACCACAGTATACGTTCAATTAATACTGACCCTTATTATCACTGTCACTATTGCTATACACATTGTAAAAGGATGAATCTAAAATTCATGAGTGTACTGAGATAAACATGCACACATCTCTGCAATCATGTAATATTATGCCAAGAGTAGTTAAATTAATGTTATATGGGTGTAATTAGAAAAATGTTAATTTTGAGATTTCTGTGGCAGGCATGAAAGAGCAGTACTCATTTTAATGTTCTTTCTCTTTTTGAGGGCAAGCAATATTAATTCGTCCCTAAAGTTATTTGTTCTGAGTTCAATAAAAACCTATACTTAAAGACACACACACTAGAGGCCCGGTGCACAAAATTCATATACTCGGTGGGAGGTGGGCATGGGGATGGGGGGAAATGGACCCTCAGCAGCCCAGCCTGTGCCCTCTCACAGTCCAGGAGCCCTCGGGGATGTCTGACTGATGGCTTAGGCCCAAGGGCCTAAGCTGTCAGTTGGACATCCTTAGAGATGAGCCCACCAGCCATGAGCCCAGCTTCTGGCTGAGCAGTGCTCCCCCTGTGGGAGTACACTGACAACCAGGGATCAGCTTCTGCATTGAGCATTTGCCCCTAGTGGTCAATGCGCATCATAGAGACTGGTCATTCTGCCATTGGTCAATTTGCATATTAGCCTTTTATTATATAGGATAGGATACAATTATTCATAGCTCAGGACTTAAAAGTAATTTCTAGCATAGCAACAATACCATTTATTCCGTATTTGATTTATATCAGCTAAAAACAAACCCATTCCATTTTTCCTAATTCAGAGATTTTTATAGAATTTTTTTTCTGTTAAAGAAGGAATCACCCCCTCCACCAGTCACCCCCTCCCCACTTCCACCTCTGGTAAAGAGAATGACCACACAACTCCAACCCTTGGGGAAAAATACTTGTCTCATAAATCTAACATGGAATTTTAAATAAAAACTTATCATAATTAGAATTTTTAGTGTAAAACAAACTGAAGTTATATAATTCAGCTTAAAAGTTATAAAATATTTCAGAGTAATAAATATTTGTAATAGGTAAGTCTCAATGCTAATAAACCAATATTAAAATACTTCAAAGAATTTCTAAATATATATGTGTATACATACATACATATATATATGAGCATAAAGATTTTCTAAAAATATATATTGTAAATAAAAAATGTCTTCTTTTATTCTCACAAAAATTGACTTCCATTTCTCTAGTGAAGTTTTATATTCATCTGAATCTAGACAAATCCATTTAATAGATGAAGAAAAATACCACTTTACTGTGTCTACATTCACATATTATTTTAAAAACTTAACAGTAAATTGAAACAAAAGTAGAAGTTGTAAATCTGAATAAACTTTTTTTTTTTTTTTTAACCATGCAAGTATGTCTTATAGAAAGTTTCAAATGTTGGAAAAGAACATTGATAAACCTAGGTTGTATGTTATCTGTCAAAACCAATAAACAAATCACATTTTAAAAGATTATCTAGCCAGGCTGATGTAGCTCAGTGGTTGAGTATCAACCCATAAACCAATAGGTCACATGCCCAGGTTGCTGGCTCAATCCTTAATGGGGGGCATGCAGGAGGCAAACAATTGATGTTTCTCTCTCATTAATATTTCTATCCTTCTACATTCCCCTCTCCCTCAAATTAATAAAAACATATTAAAAAAAAAAAGAGATCATCTATATAAACTTTTAAAAGAATTGTACTATAGTATCACTCTGAGTATAGGGGCAGTGTACCATTTCTAAATTATAGCTCATTATAAAGAAAAAGGCCAGCCGAAACTGGTTTGGCTCAGTGGATAGAGTGTCGGTCTGTGGACTGAAAAGTCCCAGGTTCGATTCCGGTCAAGGGCATGTACATTGGTTGTGGGCACATCTCCAGTAGGGGGTGTGCAAGAGGCAGCTGGTCGATGATTCTCTCTCATCAATGTTTCTAACTTTCTATCCCTCTCTCTTCCTCTCTGTAAAAAAATCAATAAAACATATTTAAAAAAAAGAAAAAAAGAAAGAAAAAGGCCATATAAAATGTACTTCTGAATGTAGAAATGACAACAAAAGTTTTAAAATATTTTCCTAAGGAAAATTAAAATGAAAAAAAAGTTGTAATCAAAGTAGTAAGATAAAGTTACCTTTAAATGTCAGATAAAAAAAATGCACCCCAAATTTTTCTTTTCATTACAACAAAATGACCAAGAAGACTTTTCTTTTTTAGTTTTAACTTAAAAAAATACATAAAAAGCTGCTTGCTTCGTGGAAGTACTTAATTCCATTCTACTTCTTAGCTGATAAAACATATTTTAAAGAGCTTTTCATCATGGCTGGTTATAATATAGCTGTTGGTTGTAGTAAGTGGAATATGTAAGTATCCTTATGAATATATTTTCTGTTTCAAGAATTAGGAAACCAAGCCAATCAATCATTTTCCATTCAGATTAATCCAGAATAATGTTCAATGTATTCTTTGATAAGAAAACTGACAATTGTGCCTTTAATTACCTAATTAAATAAAAACCAAATTTTAAAAAGTGACGTTTTCTATTCTTTTAGTAGGGTCACATGATTCTTTAGTATTGAGCAGACTTGAAGCAAGGTCAACAAAGGTGTTCCGGCAAGCTTGCTAGCTTAAAAAAGGAGGCAGAAACAAATATAGAAATGGAAGTCACATTGTAAAAGCAAATAGAGCATTTAGCAACATTTAAAAAATTCAGTATATTTTAAAAGCCACTTTAAACAAAGATAAATACTAATATTTATAACCCTTTGAAAATGGAAGAAAGAAGCATGATGTACCATGCTACACTAATAAGACTTAATATGGATTATGAATACTATTTAAAGCTTACACTACTTAGGCAACAGTTTAGGACTATGGTTTCTAATTCTTTTCAGAAACACTTAAAAAAGAAAATGAAATCAGTGAATTTAAAAAAATTTACTTAATTGCTCTGGTAATACCTTCTATAGTGTTTAATTATCACAAAGAAATGAACATACCATACCACCTATCAACATGAATATTCACAAAAAGTAAAGAATAAAAATTAGTGTGAAAATAGAATAACAAAATATAAGGGGTCAGAAAAATATTTAGATTGTTAAAGTACCAGTTTCAGTCAATATTTCTTTTTCACGAATATTAAGAGCATTTTTATTTTAAAAGAAAAAATGGAACTTTAAAGTTATAATATGTAGCAGTTTAAAATTTTGGAAAAAAATGTTTATATTTTAAAATATATCCAAATATTTGCTACAATAAATCTTTTTCAAACAATGAAAGATCAATTTATATTTACCTCTCATTGCCAAATGATTTAGTGTTTAAATCATAGCTGTTAAACACTAAATTTCATTTAATAATTATACCCTAACAATTTGTTTTTCTTAGCAAAAACAACATACACAAACACATCTAACAACAAGTAAAGGATTTCAAAAATTATTCTCAGGCAGAAAATTTCACTTTAGTCAGGGCTTGAGCTATTAAAAGTTAAACTAAACATCAATTTTAGGTTAGTTACTCTTCTCCTGAAAACAGCCAAACAAATAACAATACTTGGGTTTCATTTACAAAAATCTCAGAATAATTTCTTCACTTATAGAATTTTACATTCATCTTAAATCCAGAAAAGGTTTTAATTTTATCAAAGAGTCATACTATTTACTTCTATAATTAAAACAAAAACTCATGCTTTAAGCACTGAAGATTCGTACTACACTGAATCATTAGTTCTCAAGTTTGAGCTTAAGAAACTGTAAAACATGGAAAAGCCAAGCACTATAGCAGCAGCTACTAAGACCTAATCGTTCACATAGAGTTGTTTTCCTTAAACCAAAGCAGGTTTAAGATATTAAAATGTCTATTTTATTTTAATGAAAACTGTAAGAAATTAAGAATTAAGACTAAAAAACAAACCTGGCAATGAAAGTTCATTGTATCCTCCAAATGAAGCATTCCGGACAAGCTTTCGGCCATCACTTCGTGGAGGAA